GTCCTCGGGATTCTTGAGATGGAAAACACACAATGGAGATCTCTACCTTGCACTGTATGGCCATCTAAGAGCGGTATTCAACAGTATAGAAATCCCTGTCAGAAGTAAGGACCAGGCAAGATCAGACAATTTACTTGAGTTAGGCACAACACTTTTTTGTCATAAAAAACGAAGAAATTATTTTGAGGGGGAACACGCTCTCTCTCTCTCTCTCTCTCTCTCTCTCTCTCTCTCTCTCTCTCTCTCCTAAGCAGTCTCCAAAGAGGCTTTATATTAGTGTTTACTCGTATTATCCGCACATTCTTTTAACCTTTAATTACAATATACAGTATTTCCTTGGAATTCCGACCGACGGAGAGAAAAACGCAAGCGAACAACTTCATTTTGAATATTATTTTGAGTGTCTCATATAATGCACGTTGTCTGGGCAGCTGAGAGTTGCCCACGAGTTAAGAGGAGCTTCGAAATTCCCTTCTGTTTCTCAATGGCGGCGCGTCTGAACCCACCCAAACTCTTGCTATTCTACGACTACGGTGAGTCAATGCGTACATACGGATAGCTTTCCATACAACAAAATTTCCAAATAAAATAATCTAATAACAAAAATCTAAGTTAAATTGAACAAAATATTCTTACATCATTCGGTAACTTTAGGTTTGAGTGTTTGTCCTACAACCCTTTCCACGCCTCGTCTTTTAAGTGCCCGTCAGATGTTGTAAAATAATGACTTAGTGTACTGCTAAATTATGAGAGAGAAATCTTAATTATCTTCACTATGTTTGAATTATATAGTAATGTGTATACACAGTGAGCCAAATGTGGTAAAGTTATATCTAGACTAACAAATTAACTAGATCTGATTTAATAACTCATTCACCTGGACTTCCTTTCCATTTTTAGACTGTTTAAAGATTCTGTTGAACTTGGTACAGAAAAAACAGTATATTCATTCAGGCAACTTACAAAGAATATTCCTTTCAACGCGGTGGGTAAAATATAGTTTCCTTTGAGCACGGTGCTTTGTGAGGCCGTCCACGTGTACCTTCACCCTCCTTCCGTACTCCAGGGTCCATCCAGTACCCGGGTGATGTTTACAAAGGGTAGAGGATAATTCCCACTCTTCCTAATACGAGGAAATCTAGAGTGATTTATCATATAAGTCGCTTTACTTGTGATGTGAGCTCTAGTTTCACTGTTAATACCACCAGCTTCTTACAAATATTTTCAATTTGCTGGGTCCACGCGTCCGGTCCATCACCACCACTATGACCCACGAGGCGTAGGAACTCAGTAGCTTGTCCCCAGAGCATCCCGTCAGCCTCACCCAGGGGACCACCGCCCCCACGTAGCCACTCATGCCGATGTTAACTACACACAGAGGAGATTTTACTTCCCACATCCTGCCGGCAATCACGCTGCGAGGGACTTCCAAACAAACAAAGTGGCATCCATCGTTAGGGAATACAAGTTGTCATTAGGAGAGAATAACAAAACGTTTCCCTCCTCGACTGTTCATCGTCAGGTTTTGTCGGCCGTGAGGAAGACCGTATTGATTCTTCTCTCACTCTTGTATTCCTCTCAGAGAACAAATCTTATATGGACATTTTTCAGGGCATTTCACACCTGTAATTGTATTTCAGGTCGCATTTTCTCTAATATGTCCGTAAGAGGATAGAGCTTTCCCCTTCCTGTTCTGGAAGACCTGATGAGCACCGAGGGCACTCCCCGTCCACCCAGCTGTGAATGAGCTCCTAATTTTTCCGTTGGGGAAGTTAAGACGGTCGAGTGCAGTACTTTTCACACTGCCCCTTGTGTACCGAAGGTTTAGCATTACGTGTGATTCATTGCTGTACACCTAACGGGCCATTAGGCCCATACGGCCCACTATGTAACATCGATCCTTCACGGTCATATACGGGCTACTATAGCAAATATATTGACCCTGTGAACCTAACCTCTATCAGGAGACGACCTCATGCAGGACGAGAAACCTCAACCAGCTAGGCCAGCAAAAGTGTTCACAATGTGAAGGAACTCTTTTTAAGTGCTACCTCCCACCACACAACCTCCCGCAAAACTGGGATAAATAAATTATGTTAATACATATCTAAACATGTAGGCAACTCGTACAAGCATAACTTACTTCTTATAATACTATTTTATTTATTTTGCTTGAACAATATTTATCCATTTACTTACTGTTTTTGTCATGTTATTAGTGCATTGTATTTATTTATTTATTTATTTATTTATTTATTTATTTATTTATTCATTCATTTAGTGTTAATACAAGAGAAAACTCCTCTCCTCGTACCCTGTTGACTCTCGCTACACCAAGAAAGTCGAACGAAAATTATATAACTTCCAGATTTATCCCAGGCACATGATAATTACTCTTTATAATCCGCTCGATAATCGATAGAGTCGTTGGCTCTCTCCACACGACCAATCTACCGCTTGGTTAACCCACAACACAAATTATTCTGAATGATTAGACAGGCAAATACGCAAGCCGATCGATATGCAAAGTGACCCCACCTCCCTCTCCCACGATACGGCAGCCAATGTCTCAAAGATTTCTATGTCCGATTTTCCCCCGTTCCCAGCCCAGAATCCAAACTCTCAGGGATTTCTAACTAAGTTTATGTTTCATAGGGTTCAGATTTTCACAGATTCGTACCTTTTGATGTTCCCTTTCCAAAATCCAGATTTTATAGTATTTGTAAGTCAGATTTTCTTGCTTCATAACTCAGATTATTTAAAAACAAATCTGTAACTTAGGATTATGAACTTATCTCCTTCCCGATTCTGACTCTTCAAAGATTCTTTCCTTCATTTGTGTGTGTGTGTGTGTGTGTGTGTGTTACAATTTATCACTTAAATATATAGACTAGATTCAAATCATTCGAAAAATCAATAAAATACTATACTTTCCTCTCACAGCCGAAACACACCCAAAATATTTCTAACATATTGGCTTTTCATTAAGAATCCGCCCATTCCAAAAAGGGAAATAACAAATGACTCTCCCACTGTCCAGAAGTCCATTCCCAAGAACTCGTTAGGAAAATAAAAACCATAATTTTCCCGTCAGCAGAAAAAATATGAGGAATGATGAAGTCACCTTACATGGGATGCGCGGGTCGTCAACCTCTACTGGATGTGAACCAACGACCTCGGGAATTGTCCTTTGTTGCATCACGTCAATAGAAAAAGAAAATCCATTTCTGAATCACAGATGCAGTGACGAACGGGAGATTAGCGAATAAACTCCACTGATATATTAATACGATTCATTACTGTACAGCGCTGACAACAAGCATCTCGGGTCATGTCCTGTATAACGAACGCCACACTCCCTGGGAATTTCGCTCAACTCCTAACTTTTATTTTCCCTTATTTGAGGGGTAAAAACATCTACTTACGATGGTCTCTCTATAATGACGGAATTATAGCCATAATATTTGTATCGAGCTGATATGAGTCATTTAGTTGTGTTTCTTACATCTCAAGTCCAGAGAAAATTGGGTGAACAATCCTAGACTATCTGAAGCCTGGCTGACACTTGGTCGAATCAAATAAAAAGAGACAAAGTTTACGCGCTAAAAGATATGTTATGAGGGGAACTGGATCTTGCGACAGAGTTACGAATGTTAATTTAGCAGTTATATACGTGAGTGGCAGAAACGGTTCGCAGCAGGAAGGAGTCATTCCTGGGTGGGGGGCGGGGGATATACCTCAAAAGTTCAGATTGATAACGTCAGCAAACGACATTTCTCCTTATTCGCGGTGACCAGTGGGGTGTGCGTTACACATGTGTATACAGCTGTTGATAAACATGCAAGCCGAGCCACAACATGAGTCACCAACACCAGCTACAGTACTCAGGATGAGGTGAACATGTAGGTAGATTTAGATTTCTTTCAACCTTTACCACGAGACAACGAGAACGTTACTATTACACGCGACACGTCACGAGTGCCGTACCACGAGTCCAACCACCAACTTCATCACTGTACTCACCATATGACATCTCATTACAGTTTGTTGCATTACTAGCATTAAAAAGGTGTTGGAGAAATGCTGTGGTGGATGTCAGTGTGATATTTACTAACGAAGACGCTGGAGAGGTGGACTCCTTAAGTCACCCAACAGTAATTAACCCTGGACATAACGAACCTAAGTCTTATTTAGTTTATCCGCGTGTGCCCTCCGCATCCCGCCACGTCCTCTTGTATCTATGCCAAGTGAAACAGATGACCTTCCATTATAAGTGACTACAAAACACAGAAACGAGAGCTACCTAATGTACTCTGCTAATAAATGGTGGTTCTTGACAGCTGTTCGACGCTGGCTGTCCTGACCGATAGTTTATGGACTAAGAAAGATTTTTTCTTTAGTAAAATTCCATTGCCGTTTTAAAGACACGAATATATTACACATAAATATTTTATTTTCGCAAGTGTGTTAGTGAGCTGTACAAAATTCCACAATAAGAGGGATAATATTGAATAGTACACGAATACTCACGAACCATTTTGGGAAAAGTTCGAACATTATGATCAAAACAAACACGGAAACAAATGACAGTCATACCAAACAACTCTCAAATGTGGCATCGAGATCATTAGACACACTTTCCACAATCCAGTAGCCTTTTTTTTACCCTCCCAAACCCCTTCCTCATAATGGATATCAAATGAAGGGATAGTAAGTAAACAAGTGATTTATGCGGTCGTCTGTGTTCATTTGTTTTGTCTGGTGGAAGGAAAACTTTAGTGGTTCATGTTGTTATATCTTGTGTTGTGTTAAATAAATGAAAAATGGATGCAAACTCATCGAATACACACACACACACACAAACTACCCAAGATATCTTACAATAATGCACTTCAGTCCTAGGTCAGGTTAAGTCTGGTAGGTAGGTTAAGTAGTTTAGATCAGGTAGGTCAAAATTAGGTGGGTTCCATTGGTTTATATCATTTACAATAAAACTAATGTTCCAGCTATTCATTTTTATTGACTTCCATTTTCTAGCCATTCCATCAATTTCCCTAACAAGCGTTTCTCTCAACCCTCCGTCCTACCACCACATATGCCCCCTTGTGTATGGGCTCTCCTTTGTCCTTAATAGAATCGTCTGGTCTTAGATATGAAATGCCAGTGAGGCCAAATTTACAAGACTTACTATACATCACCTTATAATAGCTTCCTTATACAGCATATCTTAAACGATACAAAATTTAATGGTGGGTGAATCAGGCAACAGGAAAAAAAGTTTGTACATTAAATCAAATAAATACTTAATGATACTGAATATGTTTAAAACTGATGAATCTAGAAATCATATCAAGAATGTTCATCAATACAAGTGACACACCAGACCTCGAGTCCCAAAAATATATGACTGAATATGCTTGTATTCGAACCCATCCCAGGACTTGTTGGGATATACCTATATACTGAGTTTCATCTCAGTCTAGTTAAGTTTATTCAGATTATCAAGATCACAAATGTACCTTAACCCCTTCACTACTGGATGTCACTACAGTACTAATATTTTATTTGGATAACACTAGACAATTTTATTCAGCACAGAGCCCCCCTCCATAACTAAGGGGTTACACCACTTACACCTTCACTACTGAATGACACTTTTCCTATTTTATTCAGTTAACATCAGGAGATTTTTATCAGCACAAAGGACCTCGTACACAAGTGGTTTATAAATGGATAACAGTTCCACTTCCCAGCACCTTGCCTCCAACACTATGGGGAACAATTAGTGAATAGATTATTACAACTAATACAATACTGATCACAACCATCACATGTACCTCTCAGTATACCAAGTTGTACCAATTAAACTACTAAAACCAATTTATCAACTAATGTGTGATTGGTGGAGTATAATGAGTTAATTTACAGTACAATATTAGTTATAATACAAATGATACTTACGAGTAGGCAGAATAAGAAATCCCATTACTTGTGACCAAAGTAAAACATTAATATATGAACACATGACAAAAATAACATACATTAGTAATAAATAAACAGATCTCATAACCTCAACCATATTGTAAATGTTATCCAGTTTTCTTGATACAAAATACAATATAACAGATTACAGTAACTTATCTATAAACATAACTGAACACATTACACAGACATAGCGAGTTACAGTTATTTATTGTGTGTTTTGTAATGTAAAAAGCCTTTTCTTAACCGGGACTGTATACAATTTTGATTTTGTATCGCAGTACAAAATTGTAAAGCTAATACAAATACAGTAGTTCTGGTATAAAAATATATAAGATATGTTATCCATTCATAAAAGTAGTTTAGTGTGTAATGTTCTTATTAGTGTCAGTCTTACATATCCTAAACTATTTTTTTACGATTCATAAAGAAAGTGAAGCTGTGCAATGCTGTTTTAGGGATGGCAATTATGGTCATCAATACATGATAGACGGTGGTTTCTAAGTAACGGTAATATAATGCTATTGTTGGCAGCGAATTGCAAACAATTAATGCAAAGTTCAGAAGACCATTTTCAATAAGGCGCAGCACTTCACCAATGATGGGGATGTGTCGAACAACTCCTAAGTTCCATATCTGTAAAAAGAAGCATATAGTTAACTTTTGCATTTAGGACAAGGATTGTTTATGTCGAGAATAGTTTAAACTTCACTTTTTTTTGTATGATGTATTCTTAATTGCTTCTCTTGTACTAATGGCTGTCCATATATTTAAAAAAATAACGACAATTAAATAATCACACTCGTCTGATAAATCACTAGATCTCATGTAAAATAAATAAAAATATAAGCTTAGTACACATTTGTTAAGTATATAGTATACATACATACAAATACACATGTACAAACACTCCAAAAAAGCATCTTTAGGGAGGGATCCGATGAATTTCAAACTGAACTGCAACTCCTGTTCTCTCGGTAGGGTTGTCAGAATCCTTCGTGTGGTGGCATAGTCTAACACAAAATACTAAAGCTATTTTTTGGGGGGAGAGAGTATACATGTATTAGGAGATTCATATCATTTGCTTATCATTCATCATCTTCCTGCACACATTTCTTACCCAATAGGATAACTCTCCCTCTAGTTCTCTACCCAATAGGATTACTCCCCCTCTAGTTCTTTACCCAATAGGATTACTCCCCCTCTAGTTCTCTACCCAATAGGATTACTCTCCCTCTAGTTCTCTACCCAATAGGATAACTCTCCCTCGAGTTCTTTACCCAATAGGATTACTCTCCCTCTAGTTCTCAACCAATAGAATTACTCTCCTTCATAGTTGATGCCATACCTCACTGTTCTTTGTTTAATAGAATATAATTTTCTACTTATCTTTCCTCCCCTTTGGTTAGGTAGTTCTCACATTGCACCAGCCATAGAGTTAAGAGATACTGTGAAGGCTTATTATATTCCCTGGGTGGCTTGGGAAGAGTGAAGACACGACCGATAACTCTATCTTCCTGTGAATGGCCGACTGAATTTCTTACTGTTTAAGTAAGATGATCCAAATTATGAGAAAGGATTCATAACGCTCTTTCCTAGCGACTTAATCTATGCGTCGGCTCCATGTTGCCAGGTCTTGAATCGCTGGATGGTTTTAACTCGTAATGTGAACGCCGTCATTGTTACATTAGTCTCATAACATGGTTGTACAGAAGCCATGACAGTCTCCTTTATCTTTACCCAACCATAAACTGACTCTTATGTTAAATTTGCGTGTGTGATCGTGTGCAAAAATGCAGTTTCCAGATACAGTACTGGCAGTCCTCTGTAAACAAATCATTAACATAATCGCGATAACTTTCAATGTGTATCAAAATACAACAAAACCATCTAACGTACATTTAAATAAAGAAAAATTGTTGAATACCAGGACAACTTTTGGGTGTCATGACCGAGTGCCAGTAGATGGTGAGTGAAGGCTATGGTAGCAGCAGGGTCCACCACAGGGACTATCATGTGTACTCCCTGTAACATTGACTCGGCCATGGCACCAAAGTGGTCTGGGGGATTGATTAAGCCTTCAGCGATCACCTTCTCTGCCACGGCATTACACTTGGCTCTCACCTCCTCTAGTTCCCCTGAAGCAAGATTGTACCTGAGGAAGATTAAATATTGAGAACACTTATATATCAATAAACTATATTTTGTTATGCTAAAGGACTAAATTTATCTCCTGTTTAAATTTTGTGAAGTATTTACATGGTGAAGATAACGAGCACGTAGAAAGAAGCACTGTTGGAGAGTGGGAGAGGAGAGGGAAGTTGGGGTGATATTTCCATGTAACATTCACCAACAAAACTGCCTCTAGAAAAAAAAATCTACTGGTAACCCTAACCTTCCCCTACCTCTAAAAACATTGATATTATAGTGTACATTACTTATAACTGAATCTGTTTCTGTAAGGAATCTTTAACCTACGTCATTAAACAAAAATATAAGTGAATAGATAAAGCAAGAGGCTGAATTACCCCGCCCCCCTTCCTCTTAACCCCTTCACTATGGGGATGCCACTGTTAATATTAATAAAGTTGTATACATTAAAATACTGTTAAAGGCTGTGGCTGTTAATAAATCCTGTACTGTGCTGTATTTACTATTGGGGTTTAGTTGTACTGTAGAGCCTTTACTTTTTCATTTTCTACAATATGTTCCGTATCGATGTAACTCGTTCATTAGTAAAGGAGCATCTGTGAAAATTGGTGAAAGATGTTGTGATTATTAGTTATTTTACTGATCATATAAGTCAGGGCTGTGCGTCCCTTTCAGGGCCTTAATTTACAAATTTCAAAATTTAGTTATTTCAATCATATGCAAAGTTCTTCAAGTTCTATTATTATGTTAATAACTAGACTGTGTGTGGACTGTATACATTCACCCACAGACAAAATCATGATATAATCCCAAATGCCTTGAGTCCTTTGGTTAAGTGATGGATGCTAACACCAATCCAAAATTAATTCCATTCATATTAATGTTTAACCTCTTGTGTACACTGCTCCAACTCTGCTGAATAAAATCGCCGAACATAAGCCAAATAAAATATTAAAGGTGGCGTCCCCGTAGTGAAGAGGCTACGGTAATCCAATGAAAAACAGTTCTCAAATCATCAATTATAAATATTTCGTCTACAACTGGATGTGCTCGAGCTCTTGGGAACACCAATGCTCCTGCCAAGTGATAAGAAAATCAGTAAATTATTCAATATTTACTTTGTTTACTTGGAGGAGTGACCATGAGAAAGATATCATAGTATCTTCTAAATTAGTTGAGGATATAAAGGTAATTAAGGTCATTAACTGTGCTTACCTGTCCTCTATGCCTAAGAGGTACCCAATACACCTCCAGAAGTGGACAAGGCTCTCTTCCTCATTCCTGGTGCACCGAAGACCCAACTGTTGTCCGTGTGTCAGTGCTAACCCAAAGAAGGCCCACTGTGTCACCACCATGTCTGTCTGAGAGGCCAGCAACACGCCTGCCGTCTGGGAGTCACTGAAGGAGCTGGTGTGCATTCTTCTCACCAACTGGATGGATTTGAAGGCACTGAAATTTAATTAGAAAGTTAAGGATAAAATTACTTTAGAATGAGAAATAAAGTACAATAATGGTGCTTATTTTTTAAATATCTCTACATGACTTTGCATGAGCTGAATAAAATATTAAAAGTGGCGTCCCTGTAGTGCAAGGGTTAAAAGAGTAGAGTCTGTTGTATCATACCAAGTATGATTGATATGTGTAAATACTCAACTACTGTATATTATTTCTGCTTTCAAAATTCATCGGAGAATTTTAAATAATAAATCGATATGGAAGACAACTTTACACATCCAGAAATTCATAAAATAAACAATGTTCATGACATTGGTAACTGAACACTGTAAGATGGCCAAGATTAGGAAAGATCAACAGAATGTATGTTTTACAGCAAGACTTAACCTGATAATATTGGTTAAGGTCGGCTGTGGTTTAGTTGATTTATACTGCCTGGGAAATAAATGGTTTTGAGATTCTGTTCATAGAGTTGTTCTTATCAATGACCATTTTACTATATACGGCAAGTTCTGACTGACCTTGATTGTGGGTCGAAAACATCACCAGAGTACCATCGTCTCACGTGGTTCAAGGTACCAAGGTACCTTTTGTAGGAGGCGACTGGAGTAGAGGAGCGCCCAGTAAATGTCAGCACTTTCAGGATACTGTGTACTGACAGCAGACACAGCAGACCTACCAGGTTACTCACGAACACACTCAGGAAGTAGTGATGGAAAACTGACTGCCCCCTTGAGGAGAGAGAGATTGAATGGTCAAGTTAACCTCACCACACACAGGTTACCTGTACAGTATTGTCTTCAAGTATGAATACTGTATATAATTAAAATCAATGAAACTACATCGAGACATTCACAAAGAATGCATTTCTAAGACACACTGTAGTAAACTCCATGAAATCTTATATGACCTGTGTTTGTTAGCTTTATGAAGGCGTTTACAGAATGACCAAGTTAAGGTGAAAAATTGCAAACTATAAGGACAGAGACTTGCTTAACTAGACATCACTTGCTCCTTACCTCTTGAGCTTGGCCTTGTCATACCATAGGGGTGGCTTGACGGGGCTGCCACAGTCTGCGGGTCGAGAAGATGCCTCGCCCAGCAGTTGCTCCACATACCAGCATCCTTGTTCCCCACACACATCCTCACCACACTAGGGGGACAAGTACTGTTATGTTGTGGCAGTGTTGTTATATTCAATCACAAATATTCAGCCCTATGTCCACCCAAAACATCGATAAAATAGCCTCTTTTACCCATTTATGTCGCCATTATGTTACTATTACCGTATTGTGATTTGACATCTAAGATCTTTAAACACATAACATAGTAACTACACTAAACCTTCAACAGTTACTTGTTTATCTCAACACAACACACTGCTGTCACTTTTCTCACGTGTTTTCTTACCATAATCAGAATACTGGCCTTGTATTTTTTCTCCTTCGTGAAACTTATACAGATATTCAGAATTGTATAGGGAGCTCACACAGGAGCCATCGTAATCCTTACCAAGAATACTTTACTTTATCCTCTTCGCCACTGATCGGCCTGTTAGTACAGAATTACAAAATAGTGATACAATCAGAAGTTGACTGAGGGAACACTGCAGGTGAAATAACATATTACCTGGAAGTCCTTGATGAACTTACATGTTGGCCCCCTAATGGGGTTGACACCTTAACCCCTTGGGTACAAGGTCTCTCTATACCGAGTTATCGTCTGGCGTTAGTCAAATAAATTAGTAAAAGTGACGTCCAGCAGTGAAGGGTTAATACAGTACTGTATGTTAATTCACTCTGCTTAGGTGAAACCTCTCACTCACAATTGTAATTTCATGTGAGGTTTGGCCTCATGGATCTGCACCACATTTAATGAGTGACTTTCCGAGCTATACAAATTTCTATGTATTTATGAGAGAATTATTTCACCCATACTAAAACCATTAAAAAAAACTATAGACTCTTTAGACTGAAGATTTGACCATATTATCTTATACTTTATATTAATGAATACAGATATGTAGACTATTCTTAATTCTAAGTACTGTAGGCTGCTGAAAAATGTAAGACGATGTATATTTGTATTAGGTTACCATGGTAGGAGCCCCTGGGTGTCTTGGAGGCCGTGTCACTTCTCTTGTGTGCGTCACAATTGGCTCTTTCCCTTGAGAAGACTGAGATAGAGGCTGCCTTTGTGGGAGCTTCTACGATTACCCATAGCATTGGTTGTGACTCATTCAGCTGAAAGTGGAATAAAACTGGTTAGTGGTATTCAGGATGCTGCATCAAAGTAAAAAATATTACTTCATTTTGGACTTAATTTTGTTGAAAGAGACATACAGGAGGATCTTAACACAGGGAAGAAAACACTTAGGAAGGAAACACTAAACAACACCCTCGCAAAAAACTAACAATTTCTCTCCTGTGTGAATCCTTTGCCTGTTTATCTCAAGTTCACACAAAACAATGCTGTCAATTTTCTCTTGTTTTCTTATAATAATCATTTATATTCTTCATTTCTTTATTATTTTGTGTCAAATGATCCAAACGTGAGAGAGAATGACCAAGTATTGTAAACGTCTGTAGATTGTGCAAACTGATCGAATAATTTATATTGTTTCTTATATAATCACCATAAAATTACCTATCGTTTCTCTGTACTGCTTCACTCTTAAGATCCTTTATTGAGAGAGGAATACCGAATTATTACCTGAATATATTTAAATACCAAAGAAAACTGAACAAGTACAGGGGATACTTAGCCACTCTGAAATATACAGTAACTTGGCTCATAACCGATTATGTTCGTTCTTCTGCCTCTTTAACCTTCTATTTTATATTGGTGAAGAAATACATTATCAAACCAAACATTATACATATATATATACAATGAAACATTTACCAAAAAGAAAACTTATTTCACACACGCATCTCTTATCCTCAAATATGTCCTGGGTTCGGTCCCGCATATATGTGAGATGTTAACCAGTGTGACCCTCCCATACAAGGCAGATTTTTTACGGGTATTCCAGGGTCTTCTTATATTAGACAACAAAGTTCATACAAAAAAGTAATAAAAAAAGTTAAAGTTACAAGTCTGGCAACCTCACCTTCTCCTAGTCAGTTGTGGTGAGTGGAGAGAGCGTGAGACTTTCTCCACTGTATTATTCTTAATGTTTTCATAACTGTTGCGTACATTCCAACATTTCTTTTTCATGGAGTTTTGCACTTCAGAAATACGTCATTCAAATTATCCTAAAACTTCCGTAAAATAGACAGGTTCACACATAGATCAATGACAGAGGAGCGCGTAGTCACCTCACCCCATACAGCAGAACACTGAGGCAGGCACGCTCCAAGGACCAACAGGCTATCCTCTAGTCGCAGCTGCCGCAGTTACAGTATGCCGCTAGCGGAAACGGTATCGCGTGCCGGTGAGGAAAGGAATGGCAGCAGTTTCCTTGTGGAGTTAGGGCCACATTGCAGCTGTTCTCACTCACCCTATCTGTACTTGCACCCCTACACACCCCTACCATAGTCTCCTCCACCCTCGCCAAAGTAAGTAACAGTACACTGCCACCACCAGGACTCACCCCTCATATCTTCCTCACCCTTACTCCCATTTTAGAAAGTCATGCACTTCCCTCACCCTCTTCCTCGCTCCTATTGTCACTTCCTGCACGTATGATCACTCAATAACTATATCTACTTGGTGGGGGGTGATTAATTTCGGAATGAACACTGTGACTCCTGTTGTCCAGGTAGAGTTGCCCAAATCCTTCGTCCGTTGTCATTTTTTCAACACAAATTTTGTATAGATTAGTTTTTGAATGACTTCTTTAGACTTGTTAAACTCTGTCTTACACTGATAAATAGACATTTATCTTCCACGTTCTACTGTCGAGAATACGATGTTCATGGACTGCTGACTTATTCTTCCTCCTTATAAACTCTAGAGACTCAGAGAGAAAGTAATACCAAGCATGGATCTCCCGGTCAAGTTTTGATCGATACGAAACAGACGGAGGGAGACGAATGCTCTTGTGTTTCTGTGGATAATCATACCACAATATTCATATATTTAAGCCGTGTATCCTTTAGTTGTGCATCTCCCAAGCGGCATGAACTTCTTCACCTGTTGTGAACCACCTGCTCACCTGTTCTCCTCCACACTCGGGTTGTGGTCTCTTACTGTACGCCCTCATCACTAAATATATCATATTGTCAATAACCAATTGTTAATATTATCTAAATACCACCAGGGAAAGATGTTGAATGTGGCAGTAACTTTGTGAGGTGATGGGGTGGATGGGGCGACACACACATGTGCTCACACGTGTGCACACCCACGCACACACGTGCACACATGCAGACACACATTTATACACATGCACACGCGTACACACGCACACATGCAAACACACGCACACACATGCAAGCACACGCACATACAAACACACATACACACATGCAAATACACACATGCAAACACACCACACGCAACCGTGCACACATCCACACCCGCCCTAGCAACAACACCTCCAAATAGTTGCCACAGTTCGCCACACACACACACACACACACACACACACACACGCTATATGTCTAGTTTTAGTCGTAGCTTACGAAAAAATAACAATATCTTACTAGATGTCTATTCACTGGTAACTTAGTTTCTTTCCACGAGACACACACGGAGTCGTGGCTACTTGCAAAGCATCAGAAATACTTTAAATATGTGAATACAGGAAATGGCTGAAAGCAGTTTAACTTCATTCAATTCTCTGTATACAGTAAACTCTCCTTTACAGCTGTGTATGAGATAATGTTACAGAATCTTGAATAGAATGTGCGTATCATGGAAAGGATTATTGATGGAAGAGAGCGTTAACGAGAGAAAAATCTGCAGTAAGACTTGTTGTCATGAGATTTACTCTGAATTTTTCTCTGCCTTCATTAAAACAATCGTTTATGACTGGCAAGAGAGAGTGAGAGATCATGACATTGGTGCATGAAACACTCGGCGTCATGCAACTTAGGTCTCCGGTTCAGCACTTGGTAGAGGAGAGGGGGTGGGGCGCTTCTGTTGCTTGCCGCTGTCTGCTCCACCTGCTTGGTTGCTTGCCTGCCAGTCTGGGACACGAGGCATCGTATTTGGCAACAGGCGGGCTCAGTGTTCGGTGTGCCGCGGGGGGAAAGGGTTGTGTCACCAGCTGTACACCTGCCTTTGTCTACTCTATGCAGTGTGGAGTTTCTGTCCAACACTAAAACAACGACTCGTGTCATATCACATAAACACCTGTTAATGTATATGCAAGATGTTAGCTGTTATTGTCGCATTGCTTTGTGAACTTTAATACTGTATTCCTCATGAGTTGTGTCTACTCATCGGTTAGCGACATGAACACTGCTGACGTCGGTAAACAATTAGTCACGGTGTTTTATTATTGAAAAATACTTATACTGTGGTGTCACTGTTGTGCATAACGCTGACGGAGTCGATATGTGATGTTAATAGCGTGGTCAGTTCACCGTTTTTGCTAACACAGGCAACACTCAAGCAGGATAGACGCCTGCCCGTCACATGTTCACCACCAACACAGTGTCAACATAACTTACTCGTGAAGGTGTATTGTGGAGCGACACATACTTAATGTTCATATAGACACAATAAAGACCTTACATTCAGGTAAACCTTTGGAGGTCACACGGTGGCCTTATTACTTCCAACGTATCGTCTACAACGAAACTTAAATTATGAAGGAAAAATAGTGTGGAAATCAAGGCTCGTATAATTCTCGTGATCATTTGTGTAAAGGGAGTGAGGAGGAGAGACCTGGTAGAGGCACCACCACAGCTGACCATACCTCTGACAGAAGCACCGCAGAACGGACGGTTATCTATGCACCACCATCATAACAAGTGTGAGCTCTTTCAAGAACACAAGTGACCAACACTAGCGCAAGTTGTGTACATTCTGGAGCCAGTACATGCCTAGTACTTACCAACAGTGTGTGTGTAACAGAAACGTGACCGACCACCCAAACGACTAACAGACCAATCAGTGGCGAAAAAAAAGAAGTGTACTCACAGAGGTCTAGTGGCCTACCCTGCTATCAGAGCTCCTCTTACCCCCACAACGAATCTCTCAAGAACCATAGAATGATGACGGAACACTTTAAAGCTTGCAGCAATGATTGTCTGTTTGCGACGACCAGCATTGAATGTCGTCAAAAATCGTACAGTCGGGAGTGTCACCGTAGTATGGTGATGTGTGGCCTGCAGGGTGTGGTACCTCTGCTGGTGCTGACGGTGGTGATGGTGCCAGGCTCAGTAGCTACCGTCATCCAGCCTCAAGACTCCAGCCATCACAGTAAGTTGTGTAGTTAACTATGGTGAAACTCACTCACTCACTCACCCACTTTGCTTGTAATGTAAGATATTGACTCCTTCTCATTTAACTTCCATTATTTGTCTTGTAAATTTAGATCCAGTGACGCATTTAACCCATTTTCCTCTTCCTATTATTATTATAAACACACACACACACACACACACACACACACACACACACACATATACACACACACACATACATAAGAGCCCGCACTGATAGATATAAGAATAGCACCATCCCATCTATTGTTAAAATAATAAGCAGCTCCTGATTTATGTACTGTACAGCCCTGTAAATGTATTGAACGTATATATATTATGTCTACATCACATGTAAGTTTGTATATTTTCAGCCACCGGCTGCAACTCTATTAATAAACCGTTTATTATTATTATTATTTTTATTATTATTATTATTGTTTACACACACACCTCACAGTTTATGTACCGAGAGTAAATGTTCTTCAAAACTATTACACAAAAAATTTTCCATTCCAGTTTGTGAGACGATAGAGATCACTGGGAACGCGAGTGAGTTAGAGCAGTACCAGAAGTGTAGCGTCATTGAGGGCCATCTACGACTGCAGCTTATCGATGATCGTAATCTTACCTGGCCTCACCTTGGCCTACCTAACCTAACACAGGTAAGAATACACGCACTTGGTCTCGGTGACGGGTCAGACCATACGCCAATTAAAAGAGTTAGTCCAGGTGAGTACAGGTAAGACACAGAAGGTCATTAAACACCTGGATGATGTCTGTAGTGGTAGTTATCATCAGCATTCCACTCTTATCACGGGATCTTAAACACTATATGATACACGTCGCCTTATCTCAAGTGTATCCTCTGTGTAACTGATGGGACAGTTGTGTTAGGGAGGGAAATGCGGGATGGTAACTGGTCAACTAGTTCTCTGTCCTAATGAGGTCCAACAGTGATAGTTATTTTAGTTTTAGTTGGGTTGGGTTAACTTGGGTTTGATGAGGTTAAGTTAGGTTAGGTTAGATTAGGTTGGGTTGGGTTAGATTAGGTTAGGTTGGGGCCTACCTAAACTGCCCTCAGAGGTCTTGACATAACACAGTTCTCAGCCCAACAACAACTACACCAGCCACAGCATCAAGTGTCACGAACTTTTGCTACTGAAATGCAGCCGACTGAGTCATTGATTTACCAACAATTGTAGTGTGTTAGTGTAGTGTAGTGAGTCAGGTGTAGTGTAGCGAGTCAGGTGTAGTATGTTAGTGTAGTGTAGCGAGTCAGGTGTAGTGTAGCGAGTCAGGTGTAGTATGTTAGTGTAGTGTAGCGAGTCAGGTGTAGTGTGTCAGTGTAGTGTAGCGAGTTTGGTGTAGTGTGTTAGTGTAGCGAGCCAGCCAGTAGTATAGTATTAGGTGGTGGTAAAGGGGTGTGACCCAGAGAACCCCACGCTGGTACAAGTCTCAGTCAGTCAGTTATACATAGAATAATCCACCACTAGTCGTAACACTGGTGGTGCATGCCGGCGGTCAAGGTCAGCCAGGGAACAGAGGGGCGGGGAACGGGGTGGACACGGAGCAGGAAAGGGGGACAGGGAACGGAGGACAGGGGGCAAAGAAACGGTGGTACAGGGAACAGGGGGTCAGGGAACAGGGACGTGACAGGGAACAGGGGAGGCGGCAGGGAACGGGGATATTCTATAAAGTATCATTCGTTACTGACTAATCAATGAAGTTGTCCGTGAATTAGGTATCGTCATGTTTCTTCTGCCCTAACAACATCACTTTAAGACTCAATCTGTCTGATCAGAATATTTAAGAAAGAAAAAGATGGATAGCGATTTTTTCCCCAGCGACAAAATGCGCCTTGGCAAACTGCTAGGGTACGCTGTTATTCTTTCAGAGTCGTCAGCTGCCAAGTTTATTATGCACCAACACACGTCTTGGTATTTTGCAGCAAAACAATTCTATTTCTTTTTAGATTCGATTATATTTTAAAATCACCGAGAGATTATGATGTACAGAATGATAAAATAACAAATGAGTAATGATTGATAACAGACGGACAGTTTGAAGTTGCTCTTATCTGTGCGTATACTTTGGTCTGGTGTTCTGACATCTGTTCCCAACATGCAGTTTAATGGGAGGATAAAAAAAATGCAGTGGTGGTCGTTATTATGAGGTTTGTGTGCTGTAAAGGGTGTGGAGGAAGCCTGCAGGAGTGGTGGTACACCTTGCTGAGCTGATGAAGGGGTCTGATGACGCTATTCACTCTGGCCAATAATATAATCCTATCAGGAAAGAGCGTGTTGCGACCATGAGAGAGGTCTTACTGTGATATCTGATGGTGGTGTGGTCGTGGTGAAGGTGGTAGTGGTGGTGGTGAAGGTGGTGTGGTGGTGGTGGTGAAGGTGGTGTGGTGGTGGTGGTGAAGGTGGTGTGGTGAAGGTGGTGTGGTGGTGGGTGGTGGTGGTGAAGGTGGTGGTGGTGGTGGTGTGGTGGTGTGGTGGTGGTGAAGGTGGTGGTGGTGGTGAAGGTGGTGTGGTGTGGTGGTGGTGGTGTGGTGGTGTGGTGGTGGTGAAGGTGGGTGGTGGTGGTGAAGGTGGTGTGGTGGTGTGTGGTGGTGGTGTGGGTGGTGGTGTGGTGGTGGTGGTGGTGGTGGTGGTGGAAGGTGGTGTGGTGTGGTGGTGGTGAAGGTGGTGGTGGTGGTGGTGGTGGTGGTGGTGAAGGTGGTGGTGGTGGTGAAGGTGGTGGTGGTGGTGAAGGTGGTGTGTGGTGGTGGTGAAGTGGTGTGGTGGTGGTGGTGAAGGTAGTGTGGTGGTGGTGAAGGTGGTGGTGGTGGTGAAGGTGGAAGTGGTGGTGGTGGTGAAGGTGGTGGTGGTGGTGGTGAAGGTGGTGTGGGTGGTGGTGAAGGTGGTGTGGTGGTGGTGGATGGTGGAAGGTGGTGGTGGTGGTGGTGGTGGTGGTGGTGGTGGTGGTGGTGGTGGTGGTGGGGTGGTGTGGTGGTGTGGTGGTGGTGGTGGTGGTGGAGAAGGTGGTGGTGGGTGGTGGTGGTGGTGGAAGGGTGTGGTGGTGGTGGTGTGGTGGTGTGGTGGTGAAGGTGGTGTGTGTGGTGGTGGTGGTGGAAGGTGGTGTGGTGGTGGTGGTGTGTGGTGGTGGTGGTGTGGTGGTGGTGGTGGTGGTGGTGGTGGTGAAGGTGGTGGTGGTGGTGTGGTGGTGGTGGTGGTGTGGTGGTGGTGAAAGTGGTGGTGGTGGTGAAGTGGTGTGGTGTGGTGGTGGTGTGGTGTGGTGGTGGTGGTGAAGGTGGTGTGGTGGTGGTGAAGGTGGTGTGGTGGTGGTGAAGGTAGTGTGGTGGTGGTGAAGGTGGTGTGGTGGTGGTGGTGGTGAAGGTGGTGGTGGTGGTGGTGAAGGTGGTGGTGGTGGTGAAGGTGGTGTGGTGGTGGTGGTGAAGGTGGAGTGGTGGTGGTGGTGGTGTGGTGGTGGTGGTGAAGGTGGTGTGGGGTGGTGGTGGTGGTGGTGGGTGGTGAAGGTGGTGTGGTGGTGGTGGTGGTGAAGGTGGTGTGGTGGTGGTGAAGGTGGTGTGGTGGTGGTGAAGGTGGTGTGGTGGTAGTGGTGGTGATGGTGGAGGTGGTGTGGTGGTGGTGAAGGTGGTGTGGTGGTGGTGAAGGTGGTGTGGTGGTAGTGGTGGTGATGGTGTGTTGCGTCCAGGCGGTGGCACCCGAGATTATAATGTTTATTACACGTGGATGTGGTAAGAGGAGCCAATTTTATTCTCTACTTAAGCATTTAATTGATCCTCACGAACATCAATTAACCGCTAATTATATGTTTATTTTTAAATAGTTGTTTGCGTTAAAATTTTGAATAATATAATGATAAAAAAAAGTAATAATCACTACAATGACAATATAATTACATGAATTTATTTTTGGAAATGGAAAGTAATATTATGAATTTCATTTAACTAAATCTCATTTGATGCTCTGGACTCTTCTGGAGTATAATATTGGACTTAACTGGGGAGAAAATATTCAGCTAAATGTCCTCCCTGGTAACACGCAGCCCTGAGAGATGGCTGATCAAGAAGGTCCCAGTCCAAAGAGGGGGTGGGGTGGGGTGGGGTGTAGAGGGAAGCCTGAGGTAGGTTTAGTATTATGGATGTAGTACAGTAAAAAGTTAAATTCCTTCTATTTTGATAAATAAGATGACAGGTAAACACTCACCTTGTATCTTCCCCTCACAGGTGACAGGCTACGTGTTGCTCTATCGCTTGTCTTACCTAAGGACTCTACGCCACCTACTGCCTCGCCTCGCTGTCATCAGGGGCGATACGCTCTTCCATGGACACGCCCTTGTTATCTTTGGCAACATCTACCTGCAGGAGGTCAGTGTCCAAGTAGTCACAGTGGCGGAAAGTTACTTACCTTTGGGAATTCTGTAGCCGAGTCATATATTATGTACAGGTGTGATAGAGAATCATAATTATATAACGTATACAGTAGGTGTTGAGGGGTCATATCATGTACAGTGAGCGACACGTGTGAGGATGTAATAAGGCTCATGTAAGATATTCTATTTCATGAGAAAGTTAATATGACTCATTTTAATAAATATTGAATTGCGTTTAGAAAGTTTAGTAAGACTTGCGTTAAACATTCAGTAATTACGTAAGAAAGGTTTCGGTTTTTCTTTGATCAAACATTCAGGACGGCGCCACCATCAGGACCGCGGGCGTCAGCTGGTCTTGTTAAAGCTGCACTCTACCTAACACCGTCTCTTTTGCACCACTACTCCCAGGAAGCTCCTCTCTATCTGTCCTGCGCCTCTGTAAAAAGAGTGGAGGTCCTTTTGTTATGGTCCGCTCAACCTCACCCCTCAAAACTCAGCCCCCTTTTAGTTCGTGATCTCACGTGGGTGAATACTGCTCCAATACACTCCTTCCGCTCAGCCCCACTGTGGCTGTCACGTGATTGGTCAATTGCTTCATAATCATGTTGGGTTTTAGCTCTAATGGGAAATAAAATATCAAAAGCAACATGACTGCTGTCTGAAATCGAAAATATTTAAAGACGTTTTACCAGTGTTGACTTACGAATGTGACAGTGAGAAAATACACTTGGGATACACAAAGTCGATAGTTAGAAACACTGAAAGACGAAACAGGAAAGAAACAGATAGGTGAGAGGAAAAATCTAAGCACGAGAGATTATTGCAAAGGTTAACTGAGACGCCGGGAGGTCCTCAACTCGATCCTATGAGATAGATAATGAATATATATCAGAGATGGAAGTAGGATTTTTTCGGAAAGTTCAATAGAGAGAAGAAGCTTTACACAGATGACTGTTAAAGTATATAGGGAAGCCATCACCCAGAGGCAGAGGTACAGGGTGATTGTATTTGGTGAAGTTATTATGAAAATAAACTTCAAGGTCAGGGAACGGAAAGAACTATACCTGTACAGCTTTAGTGTAAAATTTTAAGCGACTGTCCATTACGGTGTATCAGATGTTAAGCCTAACACATTGCCACTAAACCTGGCCCACTGACACGCCACATGATGCCGAGCTCTCAGTGTTGACGAAAATTAAGCAGACAAAATCTCTCTCTCTCTCTCTCTCTCTCATCGACATATCTTTTCCCCTTACAGCTAGGACTGGCGAATTTGACCCACATCCTGCAAGGTTCTGTGCGCCTGGCGAAGAACTGGAGCCTCTGTCCCGGAATGGACAATGCCTGGCGAAGTCTCACCACCGATTACCACGACAATGTCATAGAGGTAACATTACACACACAATGAAACTTAAAATAGTCCCTTAATTAACATCTTCGGATATATAATAGGGTGAAGGTTCTTTCTCAAAACATCTTGTCTTATTTAATCTCGTATGGGCCTCGTTTTAGCAAGGGTTAATTATTATGATCTTAAAGCTGTTACAAATTAAGTTCTTCAGCGAGAAATTATTTGCTGAATTTCGGGTCTGTAGTCACGTGTAACTGTGTGTTGTTCCTCTCTGGGCAGGACAACTACGGAATGTGTATCTATAACCCCTGTGAGGAGCGAGGCAACTGTGTCACCAAACTCACACACCTCCACACACGCTGTACCGCGTACGGTACCTGCCACCAAGGTATGTTACTCACTCTCTCACACACTCGCACACACACTCACTCACTCATACACACACTCAATAGCACACACACACTCGCACACACTCACTCACTCATTGTTTGGGAAGTTATCTTATGACCATTGTAATAATATTTGTAGGGCCAAGTATATACTGTACCATGCGACCTGTGTCTTCCACTCTCAGGTGAGGAGTGCCACGATGAATGTGTGGGAGGCTGCTTGAAGCCCCAAGATGCCTCCGCCTGCGTCGCCTGCAGGAATTACCAGGATGGCTCCACGTGTGTTGCTGCCTGTTCCCCCACTTCCTCCAACCCCGTACACGTGAGTCAATCTCATTAGTGTATATATCCATCCACCCGACTGTTTACCTCTACTCCCGTCATCAGTATACAACAAGATCCAACCAAACAAATCGAACCTAACCGAACCAACGATCCTATTAAACCTCTAACCTAACCATCCAAATCCAACCTAACCAAGCCAGGCTTTTCTAACCTACGAAATGTAATCTAACTTAATGATCTTAAGGTAATTTTGCTAACGTTAGGTCGGTTCGTATTGTGCACTTCATAAATGATTTCTATGTTATTTAATTTCAACATTATTATTATTATTATTATTATTATTATTATTATTATTATTATTATTATTATTATTATTATTATTATTATTATTATTATTATTATTATTATTATTATTAATACACTAAGATCTAACTCATAATCCCTGCGTGGCTCTGGCAGCATATGGGTTATCGGTGCATCAATAGGGAGTCCTGTATCAGTGCTGGTTGGAAGCTGTACACCCTTGAGGACGCCGACGAAAGGCAGTCAAAGAATGTATGTGTGCGATGTCATGGTAAGTCCTGCCCCCCACCCCACCTCCAAATCCTCTGTGATCTAGTGATCGGGCTTCACCCGTAATTGACTCCAACTTATCCATTATAATTGTGGCACAGTTCTTATTAGGTCTCAGCATAACCAAACCATAAGGATTAGAGGCCAATCCTCATTGGTATGTAGGTAATTTGATCTAAAAATTAGAATTAGACTCGGTGCAAATGGACTACAATTATGATGGCCGCCAGTCTAATGGATATTGTAGGTTAGGTTATGTATGCCACGTTAGTCTACCTTGGTTTAAGTTAGATTAAGTTTTAGATTAGGTTAGCATAGGTTAGGACTAGATTGGTTGGGTTAGGGCTGATTAAGTTATGGTAGGTTTGATTTTTTATGAAATTAGATTACATTAAGTTAGGTTATTGCAGGTCATCTAACCTAAAAAAAAAAAATGCATGGTTCAGTATTTCTGTGCGTTGTGTTGTTCTAACATTGGTCATCTTGGGAACTATCAACAGGTGACTGCACCACTACGTGTAAAGGGGCGACCATCACCAGTAGTGACCCTGGACGGTGGCTACGTGGGTGCCAGCGGGTGGAGGGCAACTTGCAGATCTCTGTGGACGGCGGCTGTGAGTACTGCATCCCAATACTACCTTACTGCTGACATCTCTCAAGTGTTAAATGTTGCTGTCTAACCCAACCTGCTTTGAGGAGAAGGATTTAACCCTTTATTGAAAATAATGGAACCCTTTTGGACGATAATGTAACCCTTTGAGGATGATATTTAACCCTTTCTGGACGTTGGTTTAACTTTTGACGACAATGGTTTAATCCTTTCATCCTTGAAGTGTGTGAAGAGGGAAGGGGGAGTTACAGGTGCCCCAGTTAAGCTACTGGGTGTTTATCATTCACATGTCCTCCTTCACCAGGGAACTTGATGGAGCAGCTGGAGGAGAACCTTGGAGAGCTGCGGGTGGTGACGGGATACATCCGCGTCTATGGCTCCAACACGCTCTTCTCCCTCAACTTCCTCAGGAACTTGGAGTTAATAGGTGGCGAGGACCGGGTACATGACAAGTGTGTATCATACTGTCGCTAGTATTGTTAAAGATGTAGTCATCCACCAAAGTCCTGTCGCCTCTCCTGCTGCTTCACGAAACTCTAGATTCAGATTTGCGAACCTGAAGCAGTAGACATTGATGCATTATTCTGTCCATAAATGTTTTGGAATCATAAGTCTGAATCTCGGGGTCGATGGAGCAGAAGGAGAGGCGACAGGACTTTAGTGGGTAACTGTACACTATGGCATCAGTACACTACCACCAGCATTGTACAGTAATTCCCTCACTTTAAGTACCAAGGCTGTAGTACTTGTAACATTACACTGTAACATTACACTGTAACATTTCTATTGTAACATTAACACTATAACACTTATATTGTAACATTTATAGCTAGGCATCTTTATTGTAACATTAATACCAAAACATTTGTATTGTAACGCTAACACGGTAACGATTACATATTGGCATTTCCAACTTAATGTTGGTATTGTTCCATTTACACTGTAGAATCTGTATATAGGCACACCTGTGTAAGGTACCTGTGTTATAAAACATATGAAGGGGTGCATGTGTTGTAGAATGTGTATGAGTAGTTTTACCTGTCGTTTAGTACCTGTGTAGGAATACCTTTGCCCTAATACCCGTGCTTATGTGTGTCACTCAGGTACGCGCTGTACATTCTGGAGAACGAGAACCTACAGGAGCTGTGGGACATGTCACAGAATAACCACTCCCTCGTGATCGCCCAGGGGACACTCTTCTCCCGTTACAACCCGCTTCTCTGCCCCAAACTCGTCCACCAACTGGCCAACCTCACCGGTGTGACTCTCCTCTCTCCTGATGATGTCTCCAATGACTCGAATGAGGACGTCGCACCATGTTTGTATTAATTTTTCCAACATATTTCATCCGATGTTTCATATTCTTCCAGACTCGTGGGGTCCCGATACTTATTGGATTAGTTGTGTGAAACTCAGCCTTAACATAAAAAATTCAAATGAGCAGAAAATTTAATGACACCTGAACTCTGTGTTTGTATTTGATGAAGCGGTATAATTCACAGATAATATGTTCTTAACTTTCATTCACAGTTAAAGTTGGTAAAATTTTTTGTGACCGCTGTAGTGTTCATTTTGACAGGTTATGGCACTGACCTGTCTATTGAGATTCAAATTGGAGTGAAATTGGGTACCATCAGTGTGTCGTGGACCCATAACACAGTCTTCGATCACCGTTATGTCATCGGCTACTACGTTTACTACAGGGAGACCGACGCCAATGTCACGTACTACCAGGGCCGCGATGCCTGTAATGATAAACTGTGAGTAACTATATTGTTGTACGTGTGATGCATATACTGGGGTGTAGAATATTGCCATTATTTGTATCACTTAAAAACTGTCAATAAGTTTGCCTTATGATTGAGAAGACTACACTGCTCCTTCACCAAGACACACTACACTGCCCTACAAATGAACACACTACACTGCCTTACACATGAACACACACTACACTTCTCTACACCTGGGCAAACCATACTCTCTGTCGCCCAGTCTTACTACGTAACCAACGAAAGGCTAAATCGTGTGTGTGGTGCAGGTTATGGGAGCGATACTTCCTTAACTTTGAGAAGAAGAGGAGTAACGTGATGCTGAGGGGCCTCAGACCCTTTACCCGCTACGCCCTTTACGTCTCCGTACACAACATCGATACAGAGAAAACCGCCACCCGCTCTGCTATCCACTACATCACCACTCCTCCTACCGGTGAGTGCCACTTTTGTCTCCAAGGGTTACCTCATACTAGTACCACATGGGAATATTATTTCTTGTCCTAAGGTCACCTAACCTTGCCACCAGTTATAAGTTTTCACACCAGTGCCAGCATTGAGGATCACTTCTTATTACTGGTTCACTATCATCTGGGCTACCACTCTTACCGTCTCTCACTAGTGCCCCCTGTAAGTTTATTCTGAATGTTAATTATCTCCCTGACTCTCCAGGATCATTTACAATCTTTTTGGTGTTTAGATTATCCTATCTATCTCATACAAATAATGGGAGAAAAGTCAAGATGATGAACTAAGAAAAGGACAGATTATCCATGGGTTCGTAGCATCTGCTCTCATAAATGTTTCAACGTTATATCCTCTCAGACCTAGGGAAGGAAAACTACTATTGTTAGTCCTGCACCCACTCCCCTCTCCGACAGACCCGTCCCCAGTGACTAAGCTGAAGGTGCAGGAGAAAGGAGCCTCATACCTGGTGCTCACCTGGCTAGAGCCGTCCACACCCAACGGCCGGGTCGCACTTTACGAAGTCCTGTACCAGGTGGTGCGTTACCCTGCCTCCACCTCCTCTGATTATAACCGCAGTTATGTGTGTAGTGATGACTACGAGCCTCGTAAGTACAGTATTATATCATGTACTCCAGAAGCTTTTTCTTATATTTTCTTCTTAACAGATCTTCACCCATTCTTACATCCCTTTAGTCAGTACCAAAGAGAGTGGATTATTGGATTTTTTTCTCTGTGATCATATGTGACATCTTTGTATATTATATTTGTCATGTTTATGTTACAGGACCAAGTTTTCCACACGTCCAAATCCAATGATATTTTCTGTATTATTATTACTTGATTCCAGCTGGGGGAATTGGCAAGTTGAGTGGGAGGAAAGAAGCAACAACAACGGTGGCACCTGATGCCAACAGGACAGAGGAGCAGGAAGGAGGAGAGGACGCTCCTAAGTGCTGCCCTTGTCCTGTCTCGCACTCAGTAGTTACCAAGGAGGACAGACAATATGACATAGAATTCTATGACTATATGTCAAGCTTAATATATATAAAACTGTGAGATCAGAGTTTCTTATTATTATTATTATTATTATTATTATTATTATACTGCTATATATTTGTAGTGTCCTCAAATACAGTTTATTTCATTAAATGATTTATTTTTACAGGGACGATGAAGATGAAGAAAGGTCATCCAGTACTACTATGTTGGCCTGGTCCGGTGCTTCAGCCTCCCACCTGCAGCGTGAAGAAGTCGTCCCTCCTGCATCAGCCAACACTAATACGTAACTCACACTTCTCCTCCGTTTGTCATGTAGTAATGCAGGTTAAGTATGAAAACTCTACCAAACTCCAGAACCATATAATAATATTCATCCTAATCTAACCAAAACAATGTGAAGTAAATGCCATAAAATGTCAGAAATTAGGATTTGGTTACTTCTATATACTACTTCATTTCCCATGTGGGGAAAGGAAAATTTATCCAGAATACTGTTGATAACCTTAGTTGTAATTATTCATATTTATGTACTTTTTCTGGCTAGATAGAGGGTTTTAATATCTGTTTTTTCCAGGGGTTCTGAGGACCGGGTGAAGAGGCAGGCTAGTGTGTCCTGGTCGAAAATTGGTCATACATATGTAGGACCCCATCTCAGCTCTACTAATGGTACAGGTAAGACTCCCCAACACCACTTCCTGTACCTGAGTTATGTAGTAATACAGTACAGGTACACCTTCTGTACAACCAGTCTAAAAAGTATCGAGACCCCAGTCTGGTGGAATAAGTGATATCTCCATTAGCCGGAACAATTGGCGCAGAACACTTCCGGGAATGAGAGATTTCTGGGTAACGAGATGACTCTCTCAAAGTCGGAAAAAAATCCCTCATCCCCGGAATTTTCCGGGTAACGAAAAAATGGTCTCAGAAGTTCCAGAAATTGCCCATTACTGTACATCATCTCTCGGACCCGGAAAAATATCCCTCATCCCCCAAAATTTTCTAGAATTTTCCGCGTATCAGGAAAATTTTCTCAGAATTTTACGGAAAATGTGCCCCTCGGAAAATCGTTCCCAAATCCGGAATTTTCCTTAAAATTCCTGCTTTGGGAACGATTTTCTGATTAAATTTCAATTCCGGATCAGAGAGTTCCGGGTTTGAGGGATTCCAGCTAACGGAGATATTACTTTCTTATTCTTTTTGATGCCTGGAGTCTCGATACTTCTTGGGTTGGCTGTAGCTGAGCTATGTAGTAATACTGATCTTGAACATCAACAAACATTTCCTCTACAAAACACAAGTAGTCTCACTGACGTTAGCTTTAACAACACTTCTCGTTACAACTTGGAGTCTGATATCATTTGGTATATGACACCACAAATGTTTAAGGCACTACTGAGCCTTAAGAACACCTTTTTGCAAGTCACGTCTCTATGCTTATATAAAATAATGATCTGGATTGTACTGTGAGGAAAGATTCTATATCTCAACTACAGGTATGTGATTATATTCATCCTTTTGGTTTAGATTTAACTTGTTCAGGATCATATTAGGATATATAAGGAATTGGATTAATTTAATCTAAAAGCTGTTCATCGTGGCTTTTATCATTAATATATTTTGGTTCCTGTGGCAGAAAGTATCACTAAGTGGACCTCCACCAACACCACCACCATCAACATCACGGGTCTACACCACTTCACCAACTACAGGGTCAGTTATATGTATTTATATTTTATGTAATGAATTAAATATTGTACTCGGGTTAAATCATCGAACTCAGGGGTAAATATATCTTACTTAATTGGTAGATTCATAATAATTAGGAGAAAGGGATTATACTGAAGGGGTTAATATGTACTCACAGGTGTGGGTGCGGGCGTGCCACACACCAGTCAATAGGGAAGCGTTGTGTAGCATCTGGACGAATTTGGAATCTGCCACACTGTTTCAGGGTAAGTTAAGTCCCACTGTTTCCTAGGCCTGGAACTGGACCTAGAACCCAGCCAAACATAATTTAATCTAGCTTTTCCTATAACCTAACCTTCCAATATTAATAACCTAACCTAACCATGCTAAATTTATTTCAGAGTCAAGGAATAAGATTCTTATCTTTTCGGCCAATGAGGAAGAGCCAAGCGAGGTCACTTCAGGTGAGCAAGAGAACCAACTGAGAGAGAAACATGGCCAGAATTTTTCAGACTACAGCATCGTCTCAGAGAACAGTAGCGAGACTAACACCAGTGACTACTCCATCTTCTTTAGTATTACCTCTGCCATTACTGCCTCCTCCTCCTTCTCCACAATTAGTAGCCCCTTAACCCCCTCTTCCTCCACCTCCACCTCCACCAGTAGACCCCCCACCCGCTCATCTTCCATCAGTACCATCTCCACCCTCTCCACCTCCATCCCCTCTCTCTCCATTAGTAGCACCACCACTACCACTGGCAGTAATATCCTCCTCAGATGGGAACCTCCGGAGAACCCCAATGGCCCACCTCTTGCTTACCTCATCCAGTACTCACACAAAGAAGCTCCTCAGGTCAGTATTTATGTCTTGGATTTGAGTTTTCTTTTTTTAGGAATATATTGATGACGACCATTTCTACCCCACTTCTGCATCAGATGGGTTCCAGCCCTAGTTCTTCCGAATCAAAACTTAGCTTTAAAATAGGGTTTCCAGTAATTCTAGGGCTGATTAGGATTGGACCGTCTTAAGTTAGATTAAATTAGGTAAGGTTAGGGTCTATCAGGAGTTGTGCCCATTAAACATGCTAATGTCCTCTCCCGAAAGGGCAAGAGCAAACTGATGGAGTGTTTGATGGAGGAGCAGGCACGGAGGGAAGGATATACCTATCGTCTGAAGGGGCTTCAACCTGGCACTTATGTCTTCAGTATTAAACTCCGCTCCCTTGGTGGCGATGGTCATTACACCACCAGAACCATACAGGTCAGACTTCTTGATTATTCTTGTTTGCCTTCACTTGATGTTTAACGATCTATTACCTGTGCAGGTTCAGTGTTTACCCTGGATAATTTTAACTCTTGTCAACAGATCTCAGAATTCTTCTGGTATTGGCCCTTCTTGGTGGCCTTACTGACTGTAGGGATGGTGTTGTTCTGCCTTGTGACGATGACGATCTGTTTGTGGGGACGTCGAAAAGCAGCTAATCCCACCACCCCAGAGTTCATGAATCACATCCCCAACTGTGAAGGTATGAAAATTGATCCTGTTTGTAGAATTTATAGGATGACAAACTAGTCAGTATAATTGACTCACACCCTCGTGATGAAGGCTGTATCAGAAGAACATAAAATGGGTAAATCTGAAAATTGGCAAAATGAAACTTGTTAATACAATTTGTATTTAATATTGATCTTCGGGTATTAGGGAATCCTTGCATTACAACACACAGTAATAAACTAGCGTGTTCACGGGCCGTTGTTGTGCAAAGATGGAAATAGTCCCTTGAAACACTAATAAACGTTGGGGATGATCACGAAAACAGTGATACAGAGGAAGCTGAAGTGGATTGAAGCGAATACTCTAACTCTCTCTTTCTCTTTTTTGGGGTTTCTCTTTTTCTCTTTCTCTCTCTCACACACTAAATACTATACAAACTTATCTGCTTATCAGAGCCGCTGTTGGGTGACACACTGCAACACATAAAGGAGGAATATGTCATTCAGCGTGATGCTCTAGAGATCAACCTGGAACACCAGCTGGGGAAGGGATGCTTCGGCACGGTCCACAAGGGTGTCCTGTCAGTGACTTCTGGCTCAGATGTCAAAGTGGCTGTCAAGGCTCTCAGTAACCAAGCCACCGGCTGGGATGTTAAAAGGTTTCTGCAAGAGGCGGTTTTCATGCAGTAAGTCACGGGATCTTGACATTATTAATAATCTCGTTTGTTAGGGGTCTCTAAAATCATACCTAATGGATACAAAAATGAATATTCTTTACGAATTTTTCGATATGTATAAAAAAACTAACCGAAGAGAATTTTACATCATATATTTTAAGTCAGTAGGGAAGATAAAGTGGATCTTTGCTACTGCTCTTCACAAGTACTGCCATTACGTCGACTGTACAGTAATGTTTGTTATGACAGGGACATCAACTCCAACTTCGTGGTTCGCCTGGTGGGTGTGGTAGTCAAGTTTTCTCCCATCTATGTGGTAATGGAGCTGATGGAGCGAGGCGACCTCAAGTCCTTTCTTCTCACTGAGGCGGGCGGCACACTTACCGAGATGGTACAAGTAGCATGTGTGTGTGTGCATGTGTGTGTATTTGTGTACACCAAGTATGAACGTAGGTGGGAGTAACCGCCTTATATTTAATACATTAGTGTTTCTGTCCTTATGGTTAGCCTATATTGGGGCAGTATTAGGATAGGGAATTAAGACAAGGACTGAGATGTACATGAATCGTTGGCCCTCTTAATATTGGGAGCTATCAGCATTGTGGACCTATTAGTATTGGATCACTATAACTGAATCCCAATCTTAATGGTTAGGTTAGGTTGGGAGCTATAATGCCTGTGGCCCCTTGAACTACGCACTGAAGTTTCTACCTCCCCCAGAAAATGGTGGAGCTCGCGTTGGAAGCTGCAGACGGGATGGCGTACTTAGCGGACAAGAAGCTGGTGCATCGGGACCTGGCTGCGAGGAACTGTATGCTGGACACTAACCTCACACTTAAGATCGGTGACTTCGGCCTCACCAGGTACCTGAAGACTGACTACTACAAGAAGTGTAAGTTTGTCTTCCGTACACTCACTCACTCATACTCACTCAGTCACTCATACTCACTCACTCACTCACTCACTCATACTCGCTCACTCACTCATTCACTCACTCATTCACTCACTCATTCATACTCGCTCACTCACTCGCTTCCAAATGTTTGATTTCCCCAAATTAACTCACTATTTCACCATCATTCAATTACTCATACACAAGGTAATATAATAGTCCAGTTTGCAATATCCTGTGAAATGAGGTTTGATGCCAGCTATGAGGGCAATGTATGATCTAACCTGTGTGTGTGTGTGTGTGTGTGTTTTTTTATTAGGTTTTTGACGAATGACCTAGTTTAGTCATTCGTCTGGTCCATCTATGTCTTGCCATTACATCTAGTGTGTTAGTGCTTGTTGTCTCGCTTTGTGGCCACAGCTGACAAGGGATTCCTGCCAGTGCGATGGATGGCTCCAGAGTCGCTGCAGAATGGACGCTACTCCTCTCGTTCAGATGTGTGGAGCTACGGAGTCCTGCTGTGGGAGGTAGTCTCCAGGGGCGCCCTACCCTACCAGGTACTGAACTGCTGTGGCTGACTACACTGCTCTCTTGCTCATTTGCGTCCCTCAAAAATATCAGAGTTCGTGTAAATAATGTTTAGAATTGCAGGATCTCTGGAGTAACTTAATGAGTAGAAATTTGATCAGAGATACAGTATGTACTTTATATTATCTATATAAGCGGCATATGACCTAAACTGTTGCGTCACCAGGGATGCAATTGCCACAATCAATTAAAGTATCTATATAAGTTTTTTTTATTACTGGAAAGTTCGATTTGGTGAGCTTTTTGTTGGAAGATTATTTTTTTATTATGTAATGCGCGAAATATACCTTAGAATTATGTAAAATAACAACCGTGGTTGTACCAGTAACTGTGTAAACTAGAATTGAGAAAAAAGTTGAAAACAAGACGAAAATTAGAAGCTTCTGTAATATACAGTACTGTGTTGTATATTAAGTCTCAAATAAGTATTTTATTTGTTATTCAGGGATTCGCTCACGAAGTAGTGAACGTCATGGTTATATCTGGATCACGACTGGAATGTCCTGAGAATGGCCCAGAGATTCTAAAATTCCTCATGCAGCAGTGCTGGAAAGGTCAACCCAAGGAACGACCGGAGTTTATTCAGCTGGTGCGTCTCTTGTTGCCCAGGGCTTCCCCAGACTATCAGGTGAGTACCCAGATATTTTTTTGAGACCAAACCTAACACTGTCTGTTAGTTTAAATAATCTTAGTAAATAATGACCAATATAATAAAAGACATGTATTGAGTGAGACACACACCCGCTGCCCACCAGGCGCGATTCGAGCGGGTGTCATTTTTCCACAGCTCGAGCTGCCGTGACTCTAAGAGCACCGAGAGCAACGACAAAGGTTCCATAGCTAGTGGTTCCCTTGGCCCTAGCCTGGAGGACGCCGAGCACTCCTTCAGTACCTCTCTGGACCACAACCACTATGACTCTCTCCATAACCTCGACGACCATGGCACAGAGGATGACACCGTGGTGGATGATGACATGGTAAGACATAACAGTTTTTCTCGACTCTTTCACACGAGGATCTTCTAAGAGTGTAGCCATTTGAGATAGCAGCCACCAGTCATATTCCCTTTGTTATAATACAACACACTATCCATTTAAGAAATAATGGCCAATCCAGTAACATCTGACGCAAAGAAATGGACCATTAAAATGCTACATGACAGTGGGAGTTTAAGTCATGAAATTTCTTACATTTCCTACGATCGAAATTCAGCATGGCCAGACGTTACCGAAAATTGGAGCTGGGTCACTTGGAAATCACATTCAGGACACCAATCGTGCTCTTTAGCCAATATATTTACACGCTCATAGTTGGTCTCAAAGAAAACGTTATAATGATGGTAATTTATGACAAAATTTCGGGACACTCCACAGACGATCCTGAACGTCTTATAATTGAAGCTTCTATTTCCTCTTCTAATTCTGTAATCTACTTGGCATTGTACATAGTAAGGCAGCTAGTGGCTATTTAATGTTACTCTCAAACTAAAACCTTGTGAATGATGCTTAGTAACCCTGTCAACTCAAACAGAGAAAACTAAGCCCCCTCCCCCCCACACACACATACATACATACATACATACATACATACATACATACATACATACACGCATAAATGTGTATTTTTTTAATTTAGTACACATTGATATGCTTGTTTGTATCGAGTGTGTGTGTTTATCCACAGCTGTGTCTCACGCAAGATGACCCTTACAAGAGGATGTCGTGTGGGCCACTCTCCTGCATCACGACCAGCAACCACTTCTCTTCCCGCTACCCTTCCCACCACACCCCCTGCCTCACTTAACGCGGACGACGACCACCACCACCCTCCCTGCCTCAACACTACAGTAGCTGTCGACGATTCTATCAATTTCGAAGTTTTGAAAACTCGAGAGGTGAGAAAAATTAAGTGTGGCGGGCCTCCACGCTTGGATCCCATGAGGTGATCCCCGACTAAGAAGTGCATCAAACAGCAGCTTTAGGCCAGAATGACAGTCATGCTACTTTCTAATCGGTATTATTATATATACTTCAATATCATATCTGGGAGTTTTGAACATTTGCCAGAATTATTGTAGTACTCCAAGGACTACTGCTTCATGTACCTGTGTGTCATCTAGATCATTTGTGATGCTGGAAATCTTCCAAAGACGTAGATTTAAGGCTTTGCTCATCTCAGATTTGAAACCGTACCTAACCAACCTATCCTAACCAAACCTAACCTATTCTTACTTAACCTTACCTAATATACAGTACACAACCTTACCTTACCTTACCTTACCTTACCTTACCTTACCTTACCTTACCTTACCTTACCTTACCTTACCTTACCTTACCTTACCTTACCTTACCTTACCTTACCTTACCTTACCTTACCTTACTTAACATAATCTAGACCTAACCTAACCCAACTAAATCTAAACTTAACTAACTTGGCCCATCTTAGCTTACCTTAACTTAATATAACTAAAGAACATTAGAAAATCTTTAGATTAGGCTTGGTAGGTTGGATTAGGTTGAGTTAGGTTAGGTGGGAGTTAACTTGGGCTAGGTTAGGTTAGGTGGGAGTTAACTTGGGCTAGGTTAGGTTAGGTTAATGGTTAAATCAGATTTGTTCCCCGATACTACACTCTCGCTAGGCTGTGTCCCACATTTGTACCTGAGGTGTAAGGGTAAATTGGTACCCTGGTGAGCATAAGCTTGTCGTAATCTGTACTCTCCTCATTGCTGCTGTGACTTGTGGCCAGTGCTTGTATTCTCAAAGGATTGTATGTTAAGATATTATCGTAAATGAGAACATGGAGAGGTGGCTAACAGGCTTACTTAAGATATATCAGAAAATTATGTCCAAAATGGCGTCAGAATTACAATAAAACTTTTAGAACACATGTCCACTTTAGTAGATTCGTCCACTTAAGTAGATAGGTCCACTTATGTAGTTATGTTTACTTAAGTAGATAGGTCCACTGAGCATCATTCGGGGTACAAACTTAATATACAAGACTCCTGAAGCGACTGACAGCAGATGTGCATTTTGACTTCTCTTGATGGTCATTATAAGACAATTTATTTTCAATGTTGCAAATATTCACTTGATGTAGATTAAAGCTTTTGTATCATTTTATTGTATCATTATTGTTCACTTGTATCCATGAAAATGAAGATGACTGTCTGAGTGTTACAGTATATGGGAAAACTTTTAGAGTATTTGGAAACATATGGAGTTTAACAATTGTCTTGTCCAAGTGATTGATTGATTGATTGATTGGTTGTTTTTTGGTTGATTGATTGATTGGTTGTTTTTTGATTGATTGATTGATTGGTTGTTTTTTGATTGATTGATTAATTGTATATAGTAAATCTTGCGATGTAATATTTACTTATTTGACTCATATAATATTTAGAATTATACCTAAAAGATTATAAAACTAACCTATATTTTCTGAGGGAGGCCGGGGGCGTGTGGGGGGTACATCCTCCTTAATAAACTTAAAGACTTCAACCTCCGTAAACGGGACATCTGCTTCAAGAACCAACCAAGGTCAGGCGGTAGTAACCATCTCAATTCCTGGACAGAGGTGCCGCCACTTAAGGTTCCCCCAGACTAGGATAGAAGACTTCCTCGATCATAAAACTATTCATCCAAAAAATTGCTGAAATAAATACAAAAATGAATGGAATTATGGGATATACTTGGTTTTCAGTTCGTACATTAGCTCATCATTATAAGTAACCAGCATGATTATACTTGTTTTATGTTTCTCAAATAGTATTTCATCTGTGAATTGTAAATAAGCGAATCTGATTACTAATGTGCGCCAAATAAGCTAGTCCAAGCATACAAGACACTGGTTTATTGTTTGTATGATTTTATCTGTAGTTATCCATCAAAAGCAATCCTGATTCTTGTTTTCTAATCAAAGAAAACGTAACACGTAAGCAGGACCGTCGCTCCCGGCACCCTCAGTCAGTAGGTTTTGGTGCCGAGTTTTCCTCAAGGTGATGTTAGTGTCTCCAGTGAACGAGCTGAAGTGTGGGCAAGATGGAGTTGTAAGGTGATGTTGGTGTCTCCAGTGAACGAGCTGAAGTGTGGGCAAGATGGAGTTGTAAGGTGATGTTGGTGTCTCCAGTGAACGAGCTGAAGTGTGGGCCAGATGGAGTTGTCTTACTTTACACCACAGGAACTATGAACTTACCCAAGTCTTCTCATTAACCTCATGCCATCTAGAACGACAATACCATGAAGGTAAGTGTTATGCGGTATTACTTCATTATCACCTAACTTAACCATGAAGGTATATGTTATGCAGTGTTATAATTTTCTTTGACGAGTTTTATTAAGTCTAAACACGTCTGTCATTTTCTCTCTGTTTATAAGAGATGTTTTCCTTATCTTTGTTGTTCGGAATCTTCATTATCGTATTTGTTATTCTTTGTTCTTCTTCTCTTGTCTCCCCCACCCTCTTCCTCGTCCCTTAATGCACATACACTATACACCCTAACCAATTACCTAAGTATCTCCACTGTCTGCTTTCCTTTATTCTCTCTCTCTCTCTCTCTCTCTCTCTCTCTCTCTCTCTCTCTCTCTCTCTCTCTCTCTCTCTCTCTCTCTCTCTCTCAGCCACCCTCTCATCTTCCCCCACAGCAAGTGACAGTCCTGGCAGTAGTAGGTGTGGGTGTGTTCTACCTGATGTCCTTGACCTTCCTCCTTGTCTGGTATAAACACCTCTTCACGACAGGTAAGTTCCCACAGGTGTACTATGGGTGATAAGGTGTTTGAAGGGGATTGTGGGAAAGGGTAAAGTGGGAAGGGGTATAATGGGAAAGGAAGGGATATCAGCTAGAAGGGAAGAAGGAAGTAATGAAAAATATACATACGTGTAAATTTATTGATACTTCCGATGGATGTTAGGTTAAGTCAGGTGAGGTTAAGTTAGGTTAGCCAGTGAGATGTATTCTTTTATCCTAATCCCTTGAGTACGATGCGAACCCCTGAGCACATTATCAATCCTATTCAAATCATAGATCATTTTATTGAATTATTACCGAATGGATTAAGATCTTACTCAAGGGGTTATGTCATCTTACTCAAGGGGCTGCCATTGTACTCAAAGGGTTCAATTAGTTCTAATATTTAACCTACGATCCTTTGGAGAATTTATCCTTGTTTTGTTGTTCAAGTGAGCCGGTGAGCTGATTTATTTAATCCTAAGTTAGAGTAAATTTAATGTAGGAGCATTTGAGAAATCAGATCATACTTATTAATTCGCAATATTTATCTTTCGCGAGGTACAGAGGAGGGCGTACCCCAGCTGACGAACAGAGCGCATACGAGGAAAGATAAAGTTGTCCCTCCTGTACATAGTCACCTCCACTACTCCCTTTATCATCGTCATCATCACCTTCTCGAAAGAGAGGAAGAAAGTGAAGGGTTCCTATCAATGGCTTATAGAGAAAATAATCAATCGCGGGACACTGAAACAGTAATGGGTGTTTCAAAGATGGCTGATGTGACGACAATAAACGTGAACAAAAGAGATGGTGATAGCAAACATTTCTACGAGACGAGAGCGAACATCAGAAGAGCTGGCATCAACAATCGTTCAACAGCCAACGTTATCACAAAACAAGACGCCACAAAACGTTTCAGCTTAATGGTGACCAGAAATAGACACTGGAGAGGACGTAAAGAATCGACAACGAACACACTCAGGAAAGAAAATATCAGCGAACATTCCACTACGGTGAAGACTAAGATCAAGACAGTTGGAGAAAACCTAGAAGCGGCAGAGGACGAGGATGGTTCGGATACTTCGAGTGGTGTTACGGAGTTAGTGGAGCGAGGCGTTGATATTGACGTCCAGGTCAGCAAATGGTCTCTGGTGATCAAGGTGAATGGGAAACAGGTAAGAGTATTAATCATTTGTTGTTTTATATTGGTAAAACGTGATGTGTACACACACACACACACACGCGCACACACACGCGCACACACACACACACACACACACACACACACTCTTTCTCACATAAACACACACAAACACCTAACCTAACTTAATCAAATCTAAGATAATCCAGCGTTACTTAACTTTATCAAACTTAAATTAATCTAACCTTCCAATCACCAAATGCAGAAGTCTAACATTATATCACCAACCTGATTTATCCAAACCTAACCAGACTTAATCCAGCCTTACCTCTTCGCTTGGAACAGGTGGTGCAAGAGAACATGGAACTAACAGACGTGAAGTTCATGAGAAAGGGAGGACTCTACCTGACTGTGTTACACCCCTCCAGCGCCTCCGTCGTCCACTTCTCCAAACACCGGACCTTCGAGACGTCGGGGGACGAGGGGTTGCTGAGGGTGGTGGAAGGTGTACAGACAGGCAGGATCCTGGTGCTGGCCAACATGGTGAGTCTGGATTTGGTTCCGGGTCATGCTCCATATATTATTTTGGTCCTTAAGAAGACGAGCTCAGTGCTGGATCATTTTCAAATATCTATCTATCTATCTATCTATCTATCTGGTATCTCTTTTCCCACATCAGGAGGGAGGTAGGAATTTTTTTCTAGTCATCCATTCAGTTTTTCATATTTGTGTGCCGACCACCAAACATTGTTTCTAAAGATTACTGAAAGTGAGAAGAGATAGAAATAGCCTTTGTGTCTCATTAAAAACAAACCCTTGGTATATATAATCACAATGATACACTGGGTGACGTAAACACTGTTCTCTCTCCTATATAAGTACAGCCGCCTCCGTATGTGCTGTTACCGAAACATCCCTGTCAATCACACCTGGAGGCGACTGTACGTATAAAGAAAACTAATGTGAAAATGTTATTTGTTCTGTGTGTGTGTGTGTGTGTGTGTGTATCGGGCGCCTGGTCAGCACGAGGGGTTCATGCAGTTGTCGAATGAAGCTGTCCACCTGCTGGCTAACCATGGGTCTACTGCCATCCTCGACAACACCATAGGTGACAGGTAAGGTCTTCCCTCAGGTAGATCTCTGTCTGGTAGATTCCGTCTCCGCATAAGCCTGTCCTTCATCATAAATGAATTCCAACTTCAGCTTTGATGAAAAAAAATCAGTTTAGGTTAAATGAGTATCGGAAGCCATAAAGTTGTTGACTATTTGCAAAAAGTTACTCTTATTATATATACATTATAATAACTTGCGGCAGATGGGCGTGGATATGGACAAAGGGCGGTCGTACATGGGCGGAAGCGGTTGTGTTCTCCGTGCACAGTGCGAAGTTCCAGCTGCAAGGTGGCCCGATACACCTGCACGTCCACCTGCCCCACGTGTCTCTAACAGGTGCGTCACAAATTTGCCATTAAGGTAAACCAAGAGACAAGGAAGAGTGCATGAAAGTGATTCAAAATTATTATACAAAAAAATAATAAGTATAAAGGTATTCCATATATTAATCCTTTTGTGATCCAACTCTTCTCGTCGTGATTGGCAGAGTGTGAATGCCCTTCTTGGCCGAGAGGCGGAGTGTGGGAGACGAGGAGAAAGTTCTGTCAGAAGTACGATGGTTATGGCGACCTGTGTGACTGTGACCATCCCAGACCACTCCCACCTACATCACCACCACCATCTCCCTCCCAGGTAACACTCCCACCTACACTACCACCACCACCCTCCCAGGTAACACTCCCACCTACACTACCACCACCACCCTCCCAGGTAACACTCCCACCTACACCACCACCACCACCACCCTCCCAGGTAACACTCCCTAACACTCCCACCTACACCAACCTCCTAGACACTGGCCTGAACAGCACGATAATGACGTACTGTATACAGTAATATATTTCATCAGTTGGAATGAGGCATTAGAAAAGGTAATCTAAACCCAACCTGACCTCCATCCACTTAATGATTTGTTTTTGTATGCTTAAATAGATAGCCGTTGTGTTTGGGAAAATATTTTCAAAAATAGTAAAGTAACGATAAAGCACTACAGTCTTTTGAAGAATTAGTTGTAGAGAATAAAAACCTACATGGTTATATTTTTTTAACGTCTTGTGTACAGGTAAGAGACGTGGAGGTGAGGACCATCCCTACTGTGGTGGTGGCCAGTGAGAGACCTCTCTACCTCGACAGGTGAGATACACCTCTCTTACCTACCTTTAACTCTCTTCCTCATCCGTAAAGTTTTTTTTTGGGGGGGGGGGGAGGAGAGAGACGTTTCTCCTCAACTCCTTCCTGCCTAATAACAATGATCTACTTAACTGTTGGTGCCACGGTATTGCAGGTGTCTTCGTCGGCTACTGTCGGTGGCTGGAAGCAACCCTCGGCAGACTCTGGTTGTGGCTGATGGTCATCCTAACGCAGGCCTACGGGAGGTCAGCGCCCTAGCCAGTCTTTACGGCTTGAAGGTCAGACTCACCACTTTGAGTTTGTTGTGGAATTACTGTAAATATGAAAGTCTGATAATTTTCTATCGTTGTTCTTGATGTAGATATTCATTGGCCTGATTCCTGACCTAACTGAATCCTAACCCAGCTAATCTTTGACCTAGCTGACCCTTAATACAGTTGAACCCTGACCTAACTCATTCCCTAACTATTTGATTCCTATCCCAGCTAACTCCTAACACAGTTGAATCATTATTTAGGTGATCTGTAATCCACCTACACCCTGATCACACTTACTCTTAATTCACCTGACCCCCCCCAGTTCTTGGGTCACGACTCCGGGGGCCACAACTCCACACTTCGCATCACCCGTCATTATAAGGTGGTGTTTGACTCTGCCTTCATTACGTTCCCCAAGGCCAACCAGGTCATCATCTTGGAGGAGGACCTTTATGTCGCGGCAGACTTCTACAAGTAAGGCATTCTACGGGTGAAAATCAAGAATAGAAGTACAGTAGTAGTAATATATCTGGATGATTTACTAGACCATTTTGGAAACAACCTGCTGGTGGGCAAACCATCTCACGGATGGCGGCATCTGCACCCCCCCCCACCCCCCCCAAAAAAAAATGTCTTCATCCTTTACCTTAAAGTCGATTTAGTAACTTATGAAGCACATGTTCCAGCTTCTTCATGTAGCTTTATTTTATCTATTTCTCCCTCGTCCCAGCTACTTCACTCAACTGGCACCGCTGCTGGAGGCTGACTCAACCCTTTACTGTGTGTCGGCCTGGAATGACCTGAGTCTAGCTGGTTCTGGTGGTGATCCCGCCCTGGTGATGCGTTCTGAGACTATGGCTGGCCTGGGCTGGCTCCTCTCCCGAAACATCTATGATGAGATCATACCTAAATGGCCGGCCTACGACAAGGTGGGTGTCTCGTGCCGTCTCATTACGGCAGAGTTATGACAAGGTTGTGTGTCGCAGGCTGTTGTGTGACTATCATCAAGAATAAGAAACTGAGTGGAATAAAAGTATGGATGGACTATAAAAAGAACACTAAGGTTTTTGATTCATTCTTCCTTTGTGGTTATTCTCAGAGTGGCTGTTACTTTCACTGAGACCATTTTGTTCAGAAGTAAAGATCATTTTATATGCTTGGTTACAGACCGTCTGACGTGGTCACGAGCAGGAATAGATAATTATGTAAGATTCTTGGTTTCAGTTGCGTTCCACTGTCTGTAGGAGGATTGTTTGTGTTCATTTGTCTTTTAGTAGAAAAATCTGAACCAGGTCTTCAGTCCTGTTTTTTTTATAAGTAGAGGATGGTAAAGTTACCTCCGATCTACCACCATCCTCTACCCCTCGTCCAAGGCCATTCCCCTTCACCCATCAGTCCCCTCAACCCACAGTACGCAGACTGGGACATGTGGCTTCGTCTTCCCGCCCAACAGAAGGGACGCGAGTGTCTAGTGCCGGAGGTGTCCAGGACTTACCACTTCGGGATAACGGGCGTCCACCTCACTGCTCATTTCCAGGCCACTCACTTTGCCCACACTGCCCTCAACACTCACCCACACGTCAAGCTCAAGGACCTACACAGGTGAGAGTCTTTAGGCAGTGTGGTTAGGTTAGGTTAGGTTAGCATAACTCTGGTTGGTATCTTTCGTCTAAAATACATAGGTAATATCTCTTCCCGTTTCGTGATATTTTCCTCAATTGGATATTTGTCCTCCTAGGCTGGGACCCAAGACCTACGACGCCCTGCTGAAGGAAATGTTGATTGGGGGAATTCACCTTGATGGGGGAGCCACTAACCCCTGCTCCGCCGACCTCCTGCCTCGTAACTCAGTAAGTACCAGAAGAGTTCTTATAAGGCTTAAGCAATAGATTATAATAAATTATAATATCAGGCAATATAACGAAGACTTCCACTATTACAACTGATAGTATTGTTTAAAATAATAATAATAATAATAATAATAATAATAATTATAATAATAATAATAATAATAATAATAATAATAATGTCAGACCCATCATCACGTCCTCTGGATCAAGATGAACCAAATTTCGGACGACTATACGTTGATGGGCGTTATGTCGGTGAGTTGCAATAGTTACAATCTGTACCATAATGCACACAATCTGTACCATAATGCACGCAATCTGTACCACAGTGCACGCAATCTGTGCCACAGTGCACGCAATCTGTACCATAATGCACGTAATTTACATAATAAAGCTCGTACACAGGTAGAAAAATATGTAGATAGACTGACATACACAAATAGATGGATAGAGACAGGCAGTTAGAAAGGTAAAGAGTTAGTCATTTATCTAGAAGTGACCCTTTCATGACAGCTCCCGGCTACTCCCCCACAGTGTCTACTGCTGTGGGACCTGGACGTGCGGGGACAGCACAACCTGCTGTGGCGGCTCAGGTGGAGGGGCACGACTCTGCTGCTGGTGGGATGGCCTGCCTCTCCCTTCTCGTGAGTTTCTGTTGTTTTTTACTGAAGGCAGGTAGGAGAGTGCTCCTTCTCTTCTTTCTATTTCTCCTCCTTCTCCTCCTCTTCCAGTTCCTTTTCCTCCTCCCCCTCCTCCTCCAGTTCCCTTTCCCCTTTCTCTTATCCCTCCTCCTCTTTGTTTATCAGTTGTGGGGTGATCATCAATCTTTTCATTGTATTATTGGTGAAATGATGTGAAATTTCTTGTATGTTTTCATTTGATTTTGTTTCCTAATATTTCAATGGTTGTCAGGACATTGAAACCCAAGGACGTTCGTATAATGATGAGGTACGACCCCAAGAGCAGGGACTACGACCCCCCAGTGTACCAGTACCTGAACCCCAACACAACAACCACACCGCAGCAACCCTGATTCCTTCCCACGTACAGTACGACTTCTAGCTATGATACCATGACGACCCCCCCTCCCCGCCAGATACGACCCAAGTAATGACTCCAGGGGTGAATCCAGTGTGACTTCAGATGCGACCACCAGGTATAATTCCAGGGTACTGCCCCTCGATACTACCACTAGATACAATACCATGTAAGAATCGGTTCTTTTGTCATGAACTGAACATGGATTTAATTTTATTGTTATAAATAAAAAAACAATTTTGTACAACGATTTGTAATTCATTTATTTATACATTATCTTGTTTTACATTTAGTTCGTTAGAAACTAAGGACAGATATTAACATTTAGAGCCATGGAAATAAACATTCCATAAACATTCAGACTCCAGCTGAGTATTTGCTGTGAAACATACGAGTAAATCACTATCATTAACGTGAGGAAAAGATGAATATATACAGTAATCAACAACAGGAGGCACACTGAAGAAAAACCAGACTACGTAATAAACGAAAAAATTAAAGGAACGAGAAAAAAAGAAAGAGAACGTGGACTGTACCTGAATGACTGCGTAGAGAAGAGATAAATGGGAAGCCAGAACACACGTTGGTGACCGGCCAACTCAGAAGACTTCTCCTAGCAGGTGTAGAGGTCTTTCCCCCGATCATATCTTGTACTTGGACCTGTTAGCAGTGAACCATTGTCCTAAAGAGAGTTTCACCTGTGTGCTCGAAGCCTCCCTTGACTACATGAGTCCTCCCTCAGTCTTCAGGCGTCATCCTAGTCAACAAGGACCTTATATCATGACGAAGGACCGTTGCTTCGTAGCCTCGGGAGAAGAGAACATTTGGGGGCAGAGGCGTTTAAGTTCCTGTGTATTGTTTGGTAGTTTACTGTGAGTGCCTGAGCGACTATGTGCCTCAGCGACTGTGAGTGCCTGAGTGACTGTGTAAATGCCTCAGCGACTGTGTAAGTGCCCAAGCGACTGTGTGAGAGCTTCATTACCTGTGTGACTAACTGTGTGAGTGCTTCATTGCCTGTGTGAGTGCCTGAGTGCCTGTGAGAGTGCCTGAATATGCCTGAGTGACCGTGAATGTCCGAGTGATTGTGAGTGACTGAACGACTGAGAGAAACTGCTTGCATTAAGGGCCCACAGCAGCAGCAACAGGAAAACATGCATGAGTTGAGGAGGAAAACCCTCTTCTTACTAGACGTTAAGGTTGCAGGAAGGTATTTAACTGGGGAGTATAAAAGCAGTAGAGATATTGGCGCTGTAGCTTGTGCTTGGGCGTACTACCAGGTGTGTGTCTGTATTCTGATTAATGATGCAACTTATTCTGTGTTTCATCGATGTACTGAACAGGTCGTGTACAGTAGCTTGTCCTCTTGGGGGCGTTTACGTTAATGGGGGGGGGGGGCCTCTCTCTGTGTCTCCTAACTATCCCGGGTAGATATGTGCTGTAGATATGTGTAGATTGTGTTGTTAAATTGTATATATGTACTAAATATTAATTCATTATCTCTCTACCTATCCAAGAAAAAGGGTGAACAGGTTAGAACTGGCCGGTATTGTCATTATATGGTTTCAATGTTTGGTATAATTTTATATTTATTTTATCATCTTAAGAGATCTCGTTGATGTCTCCACCTATTCTGCGGTTCATAATTGATGGGATCTTTAACTTTCTCACACAGTCATCAACACTAAAGTTCCTCAACCAGAGCATCAATTTTGTCTATATCTGACTAATTGGTCCAATTGGTCCAGCTGACGTGGTCCAGCTGGTCCAGCTCATGTGAAGGCTCTTGTGTCTCCAGGTCCAGTGCTCTTTGGTCCAGGTGTTGAACTCATTTCAAATTTGTGTTGCATGAATTATTATTTTTTAGTTCCAGGATGAAGTGGTCGCTACTAGCCTTGATTTGTGGATTACTGGCTGTGTCCCAAGGTAAGTACATGTGTCATGGGGTAAGTACATGTGTCATGGGGTGAGTACATATGCCATGGGGTGAGTACATGTGTCATGGAGTGAGTGCATGTGTCATAGGGTGAGTGCATGTGTCATGGGGTGAGTACATGTGTCATGAGGTGAGTACATGTCATGGGGTGAGTACATGTGTCATGGGGTGAGTACATGTGTCATGGAGTGAGTACATGTGTCATGAGGTGAGTACATGTGATGGGGTGAGTACATGTGTCATGGGGTGAGTGCAAGTGTCGTAGAGGGAATCTCATCTCAATAATCCTAACCTATTTTAACTAGGTCCATCCAGTACTATACCTTTACCTATTACTGCCATACTCCGTCTCCACAACAGCTTTAGATAAGGATGATGGACGGTTCCTTGCCCGAAGGACTACCAAGACTCAGTTAATTCTTACGACCACCACAGTAGAGGTTCCACTCACCTGTGCTCTCTTCACCAGTACCGCAGTCTGCCAGAGGAGAAGGTACAGGCGGTATAACATTATGAGCGAAAACTTGGACAAGATTGATGACAAGTGAGTGTACATTGTATTGTGATCCTCTCTCTCTCTCTCTCTCTCTCTCTCTCTCTCTCTCTCTCTCTCTCTCTCTCAACTTTCTTTTATGCTTTATATGTATGTATGTCTTTCCCTTCTTTATCCTCCCTCAATTATAACTCGCTCTCGTCATCTTCAGGTTATCGGACTCAGCGGACACACTTACTGAGGAGTCTTGGGATGGAGACGAAGGAAATAATCGCCATCAAAAGTTGTTAGCCTTGACGCTCATCAGCACCACCGTGGCCACCTTCACCGTAACCTCCAGTTCTGTTAACCCCTTGACCACCTTCTCCCTCTCCTACTTCTGCACGGCGGCCAACGCTGTCGTGCCACCTGCGTGTTAATCTGGCGCAGCGACCACTTCTGTACTAGGAGGCACCTCTTACGATATCACCCACGATGTCATACAGGATGTCACCAAGGATTGTCAATCAGGATTCATTTATAACAAGATGCAGGATATCACCCATAATTTCATGTAGGATATCACCTGAAATTACCAGCCAGAGTTATCGCCAAAAACACCAGGTAAGATGTCATCAGTTATGGCAGACTTAATTGACACAATAAAAATGTCAAGCACTGTGTCCCCGTCCAGTAAGATTTGTGAGTAAATGTCTCCCTCTTCCCTTATTTAATGTACCTACTAAACCTACTACTGACGACACCGTTATGATAACCATCCTTGAGTGTCGCTATTGTAAATATGCCAGTCAGTTGTGGTCCTCTTGGGTCTTATCAAGGTTCAGAACTGGCACGATGGTATTTCTGGATCATGTTTGTGCGTCTGTATGTCTGTGGAAGGCTTAAAGAGTAACATAAAGTTTAAAAATCAATATCAAGTCAACTTTGCAATCCTGACAGTAGCTCTTGAATGTCTCTAGTTATGGAAAGGGAAGAATTTGTGAACGACTCTTGAGAATCCACCACACGTGTCTCGTTTGGTCCACAAGTGAACAAAGTCTCGGTGCCTCTAAGTGCTTCCACTAGTATCTCTGGCGTTTGAACAATACCCTGAGTTGTGTAAGTTTCAGTTTTTCCTTAATTAAATCCTTTATTATCCGTATCAGTTGGATTCTTCTTGTTATTGTGGTAATGTAGTTGACACTGAAGCCTTGTATATTGCCAGGTTTATCCAATGTTATTTTTCATATTTTTCATCTTTGTCTTTCTCGAATCTCTTATGTTTTTTAATCATGTTATTTACTGCTGTTATGAATGTTATATGAGGGGTCTTATGTTAAAAAAATACACATTATATATAAATACTGTATCAATATTCATGGTTTTATTTTTCATATACTTAGATTATATTACGAGTCTTAAAGTTTTGTTACATAATGAAAATCACTGTTCCGCTGTTACCATTAAGTAATGTTGCTCCTTATACGAAGCCTCCCTGTTACTGGCTCGTCTTTTTTTCGGATCCATTACAAATAAAATGAGTCCTTAAGTTTACCAGCTAAAACACTGTACTACTTATCTCTTGTGTGTTCCCTTCTACAGTATATCAAGGGTGGGTCTGTTATTGTCTTTTCTGATCTGACTGATAGATGTTCTTACACTTCAACTTAATCATTATAGAATTTTTTTTTTTTAATACAAGGGTTTGTTTATTTATATTTGTTGTTGGGGTAGACCACACTTTTGTTTGGTTAGATATAAATATTGTCTGTTTTATTTTTAATACGATATATCTTTACAAAGGAATGGCACTGTGAAATTTGTATATCTCACAACGCATGGCTTCTTCTATAATCAGTCGGGGTGTAGAAATTTCACAAGTAAAACCTTTGTTATAAAGAAGACATCTCCTCTCATAAGAATTTGAAAACACATATACTTTACCTAATTCCATCCAAAATAACATAATAATAATGTTTTGACACAGAAGACAGATATAATGGCTCATTTACCCCTGAAATTTGACAGAAACCCTACAAGAAATAACGCAGTAAAGCGGTTTTGGTTATGTCGCTAGAAAACGGCTATAACTTACAGTTAATATTTTGCTGATAAATCTGACAAGTGTATGGGAGTAGCCCGGGTGTGGGGATGACAGACGTAATAACTCTTAAGTAAACTAACTTTGGAACTCCGAACGGCGGGACGAAGAGAGCGGACGAGTGTGTTCCGTCGTGACGACTCGGATCCCCCTACAAGTGTGGAGCTACTTGATGTAGGGGACCGCGCGCCACCCTTTCCTTACTACCCACTTTTCCTGGTGTTAAACCCACCAATTATGCACCTCTCTCCTCCATACCCAAATTGCTATAGGAAAACACTGAAATATTTCTCCCTTTTTTTTATGGCAATGATTGCTATGTATAAATTTGTATGGCGCATATATTTTAAGATAAAGTTGTTAGAGTAGCGACTGTCTAGGTGGACCTTGTCTGTCTATTATGAGAAAGTGACTAACGATAAGCACACACAGGAGGAGCTTGATCTACCTGAGTGACAATAAATGATGTATGGTAGTGACTGGTAACTCTCCTTCAGCAGAGGTCTATAACACCGCAGGTATATAACTCACAACCTCACATCCCACAACAGTTCCTCATCGCTCGAGTATTCACAGGTGCTTATACCTTAGCATACTTTATATACTCTATTGTGAATGGTCTTTATATATGGTAATCCTTATATCAAGATGCGACAAAGTGATATGTTGTTATTCTTTTACAAAAAAAATGCTGAACAGATACGGTTTTTTTTTAAATCTTAAACTCGGTGCTCTGAGTCACTGCACCAGTGTGGGTTGAGATTAAAGTAAGCAGAAGCTTGAGACATGGTTGAATACCTTATGGACTCAAAGTTCAATAATCTTTCAAGCAGTTTAATCTAATTTCATCTTTGATTGGGGTCCCACTATGAATGGACCCGTCAGGAGGTGGTCCCATATAACTGGGATGAATTAGGACTGGGGCTCACGACGACCAGTTCCTAGTCTTAATGGTTAAGTTATGATGGAACTTAATAAGGTTATGGACTGGTCGATCTGGTGTGTATTATGCCAGTTACCGAGACATACCATACGAGGTGACTTGGTTCATTTTATAGAACCATTGCTTATATCACAGCAAAGTTTTCGTTAAAGTAACATGTGTTTTACTTAATGTTGCAGAATGAAGTGGTTGCTCGTAGGTGTCGTGTTGGGCGTCTTCTGCCTGGTACAAGGTGAGCCGGCACACCTGTTTAGATAATTATCCCATGCATCTGTTATTCACACATGTGGCTTATATAATTATTCTAATACATCTGTTAGTGAAACTTAAGGACAGGTGCGCATTGAATTTACGACTCAGTTTACTCATCTTTGTTCTTTTTCTTAGGTCGTAACGATGATGCTGCTGCCCGTGTCATAGCTGTCCAGTCGGTGCGTACAACTGTAGTCCTGACCACTCTCACCTCCTCTGCTCCCGTCACCTGTGCCTTCGCCACCGAGGATGCTGTTTGCCAGAGGAGGCGATTCAGGCGCTTCCAGGCCCTAAACCATCTAAACCAGAACGATCAGTGAGTAACCGAAGAGTTGAGGAAAAAGTAGTTTTATTTACCCTATGTCTTTATCTACGGTATGAGGCCCTGATAAAGTGGTTGTTTGTGAAGAAAAACGTTTCTAGATTCCTTTTTATCCAACTGAGGGCAAAAATTTATTGAAGAATCATGGCATAGTTTTTGGTGATATATTTAACATCTTGGTTTGGTGATCAGTGCCACATCATGGTCTGGTGATCAGTGCCACATCATGGTCTGGTGATCAGTGCCACATCATGGTCTGGTGATCAGTGCCACATCATGGTCTGGTGATCAGTGCCACATCATGGTCACTTCTTTTATATTCGGAGAGTTTGATATAAATCCCTAAAAGCTAATGATGATGATAACTTTTATAAATTTATCATCTAATATGCTGGTGCTAGAGAGAATATACAATTGTGTTATTGATATGCATGATAATATGATTGATATGCACGATTCTGTGGTTGATGTGCCTAATTTTGTGGTTAGTATGCATAACTCTGTGATTGCCCTACATAATTATGTCCTTAACATGTGTAAGAGAATGTGTGGTCGTGTTTCAGAGCGTTAGTGGAAGGTTCAATGGCCGACGAAGACGATCTGTACTCGCGGGAGGAAAGAGACGCTGACCGGCAACCTCGTGTGGCCTTTACCATTTGGTCGACCACCTCCTCCACCTTCACCGTCACTACCACCTCCTTCACCACCGGCACCACCTTCTCCCTCTCCTTCTTCTGCACGGTTAGCGGCGCCGACTTCCCTAACAAGTGCGGCTAAGTGACCAACATGAAAAATCAACCCAATGGAACGACGCTTTCAGGATTCGGGTGTGACTTCGGTTACTGGCGTGAGTGTCTCTTAAATTTAATAGTAACATTGAATTCGTCTCAAGGGGCCAGAGTTTATAGAGTTATTCCAGGCAGCCATAATATTCTTCTAAAATTCCGTAATGATGTTGAAACCAAGACTTTTACATATAATTTTTTACTTCTAATAGTTTAACCTAAGTGTTGAAATCTTGTCATACCGCTCATATTTCATAACAGTCGCCATATCATCAAGAATTGGCGGTTTTTATTCAGATTAACATAATTATTTAGTTTCTAGAGCTCTATAACCAATTGAGTTTTAGAACAACAATAAGGTTACGTTTTATGGATTAGCTAGAATGTTTAACTAGAGTGGGACTTGAGCTCTGAGGGGCATAACGGAATGCATCTTGATTGAGTTAATTTGTACTACGAAGTCCACAAAAGGTTTTTCTTATAAACAAAAATGGTTATCTTCTATAAAGGTTTAATGGAGTTTAAGACAACGATAGCCTTCCGGTATAACAATTTAATCTAGACTTGATATGGGCGGCTCTCCAGAGACACCAAGAACCATTAGCATGACGGTTGCTGCTGCCCTCAGTCCCTATACGCCGCCATGAACCAACCGCCTCTCTTGAAGGTAGTTGTTCTGTTACGACGACTGTATTGCTTCTATGACATTATTTATTGTTATTTATACACCATTTTTAGTTTTAATACACAGGGGTCAATTTTGTAAATACGTAAATATAATGTATATGTTTCGTTCCGAATGTTCTTTTGAATCCCATGAATATGTGTTTATGGCACTGAACAGTTATGGGTTCTAATCCCCTATGAAAAAAGGGTTCTGTCACTTATACCCAACATGTGTACAAACTAGTGCTATAATCATATCCTCACTGGCTTGATAATCCAGGGTAAGGTGACACTAGTACATTAACTGTATCCCCAATTACTTCAAAAAATTTCAGCACAAAGAGGGATATTTACTTTTCCTGTCTCGCTCTGCCTATGATCCAGTGGTAGACTTGGCCAGGTATCTTCTCTGCTGTTGAAGTGGTAATGTAGGAATACTTAAGGTGACATATTATGGTTGTCAGCGCCATACCCATGACGTGCTCACTTGTGCAGTAGTTCGTTGTGTCTACACTTACTCCAAGGTGCTCGATTTGCCTTTAAGTTGTTGCCTCCTACTTTTTATACTCATTGGGTATGCACATGTTGGCCTGAGGCTGACGAGGCTTTCCTCATCCTCAGAGATGAAGGTGTGGGTGAAGGAACACAAAGAGAAATGTAATGGGGACTATTGTTTACTGATGATCACACCAGGAGCTACAAGAGAGTTGCTCTGGCTATCAGGAGCAACTAGAAAGATGATGATTAAAAATCAAATAAGAGAAAAATGAGAGAGACGTTGAGCAGCAGAACAGAAAAGAGAAAATCATCATAAACAAGAAGAGTAATAAAACAAAATCAGGGTGTGAACTGAGGGTTGGGGAAATGATAAAACCAGTATGAAAGGAATAAAAGAACGCCCCAGGTTTCACGCATGACAATAAGATACCCAGGAAACTAAAAGTATATAAATGTATAAGACAAAAGTTAGACCAATACAACGTCAAACGAAATTTTCTTGAAAAATAAAAACTAACGTGTTTATATAATAAAGGTAGTTTACATCTTCAATAAAATGTATATAAAGGGGATTTAGAACTTACGGACACAGCGTAATTGACTTTGTAAATATCTTTAATTATTTCAAATGTAATTTATTAAGATTGTCGAATATCTTAAAAGAAAAGGATAAGGAACAGTAACAAAGAGTGAGAAACATTACAGAAAAGGGGTGATGACGGAGAGCGATGGAAGTGCTAACAGAGGGTCGGAAGAGATGGAGGAAGACCTGAGCTACTGACACAACAACACGTGGGATTAAGTCAGTAATATGTCGTTCTTCCTTCCTCGCTACACATCCAAACCCTGACACAGTTATTGTGTTTTTATCCGCTTGGTTCTTCAGTCTATTGTCTTGTTTCTGCATTTTATTCCCTCTTCCTCTCTCGGATCCATCCCTTCCCAGGCAGACATTAGATCAGACATGGACTTGATGAGGAAATTTTTTACAGTATTGTATTCCCACACAAACCTGGAACTTCAAAATAGATCATCCACTCCTGCTGACGACATATCTCGGAGCATTCACCTTTGTATGGAAGTTTATATCTCTAACTCTGTACTTTTAGAGAAACCAGGTGATCCCCACCCTGGTTCAGCTTCTGTCAAAAACAACTTAACACAAACAAGCTTCTTCCTATCGTTGGAAATATCACCATAACTCAGTAACCCAGAGTACTTGAATAACTAATCCGAACATGCTATGTATTTAATTAGCAATGGCAAAAATTTTTTTGAGCATCAGCGAAGTCGTATTATAAAAAAAAAATAGACGAATCCTACTCCACCATACCCTCTTCATCCCCCATAGTGTGACAAAGGCCACCACAGCCAATATAAAGCTATTTCAGATTCCGTGTTTCCTCATAATTCAACCCTTGATCCCTGTTTACTTACACCGGGTTTTGGTCTCTGGTTCATCATTGAGTTTCGTTGCACCGTCACACTTATAGACCCGGAATGATATGACCTGCTTGAAGGCCGAAAATTGTTTCCAATAACTAGTTAAAGTATGAATCACTGAGGCAGGTTACATGGTTCACAGGGGAGATGGTTTGTGTGTGTGTGTGAGCGGGCGAGAACGTGTGGTAGTAGTGGTCGTGGTGGTGGCTGTGTTGATTGTGATCCTCATACAACTAGGGTTGCCGTTTCCTCTATAGGGCCCGCCATCCACAACCCTAACTTCCTTGGTGCTAAAAATAGCCAAAGTCTGATACTACGGGATTAACAATAGGAAATACTGCTTTTATTACTGATAGTGATACCGACTTGTATATTCTTCTTATACTTCTATATTAATATTTGTATAATACTTGTGGATGAAAGTATTCACGTTTGCCCTTGAAATTAACATTAAAAAATAGTTGACACGAGAGAAATGCAGGAGAGACTTGACCTACCTGGGTAATTTATAAGTGATGTATGGTATTGACTGATAACTCGTCTTCAGCAGACACAGAGGCCTATCAGCAGTACACCACAGGTATATAACCCACATCATCACATCCCACGATAGTTCCTCGCTGCTCAGGGTATACTCAGGTGCTTATACTTAACATACTCTATATTCTGTGATCATATCGTGGTCCTTTCGTCTGGGTGTGTACAAAATGGTAGACGTACACGTTCCTGTTATAACAATCGTTTTCTTAACTAGCTTTTTCCTTTAAGTTTTGGGTGAATATATCTAGGGCATAAGGATGCACAAGAGCCAAATATTGTAGTATATTGATGCTTTTGATGTTAAATACTCTGACATATATCTTATTGTGTGTCTGTCCATGTCTCTGTTTGCCTCTGTCCATGCATCCGTTTGTTTGTATATCCAGAGGTTTCATCCATCGATCAATCCGTCCATCCCAGTTTTAATTTCCATATCGTAATAAAGCCGTTTAAAATCAACCTTGTGCTCAAATGGACAAGATTTATAACATCGGATATTCTGACTGTAAAATGGGCTTCGTGTCTCGGGGTGCAGATAACGTGTTGTCCTGTTTAGATAATCAAAATCGTGACTAAGATACATATGTCGAGCACATAGGTTCCTCGTGAGGAAAAGAAACTAGGAAATGCATTATTCTTATCGCCCTTAAAATTTACCATTTGGGAGGAATATTTCTGCCATTATACTTCCACTAATAGCACCACTACTTGGTGTGGGTCCGTGAGTGCTTGACATCACGTTCAGGGCTCAAATATCAACTCTATATTTGTAAATAAAACATCAGTTAAAGATTATCTAAGTATAGTAATATTTAAGAATCACATTATAAACAAGACCAATCGTAGGCTATGCAATATTTAACAAGCTCGATTTTGCACATTAAAAAGTTCAGTTCACCTTCTTATGCTGAAAAGTCCATCCACGCACTGTTCATTTGGCGAGGGAACTGACTGATAGGAAACAGCGCTATCAATCACTTCCTTAGCCATACGAGTTGTCACGTGAGCAATGTAGGCGTGGTAAGGGGTAACAACACACCTGTAGGCGACTATATATATATATATATATATATATATATATATATATATATATATATATATATATATATATATATATATATATATATATATATATATATATATATATATATATATATATATATATATATATGCATGCCTCAAACATCACTCACCCAGTGAGTTCTTCGGAAATAAAAAATAAGTAACATTAAACACCTGAATTTTGGGGGGATTATGATGTCTTCTTTTTTTCCAGAATGAAGTGGTTGGTGCTTGCTGTTGCCCTGGGCTTTTTGGGCCTGGCCCAAGGTGAGACATTCACTTGGTTTTAGTCAACCTTCTATTGTGCCTTTTTTTCACATCTCCGGAGTCCGTGTGTGCCTGCATGCTAATCTGGGTATCTTGTGGACATGCTAATCTGGTCAATTAAAATTATTTGGAAAACACAGGCAGACAGATGCTCACACACACCAACACAGACGCACACACACACACACACACACACACACACACACACACACACAAATAACAATCCCCCATACACGCATCCAAGTATTAAACAGACCAAGAAGATAAGTATTTGTAACCTTTCTTGAAATTCTTACCGACATCCTTGTATATCCTTCTGCAGGTCGGAGTGAGGGGGATGCAAGGATCGTGGTGGCCAGGTCGGTCAAGACAGCCATCGCTTTCAACACCGTCACCTCCACCAACCCCGTCACCTGCATCTTCGCCGCCAACGCTGCTGTCTGCCAGAGGAGGCGATTCAGGCGCTTCATGCCCATCATTGACCATGAAAATCAAGAGTAAGTCCTGACGTCCTACTTCCTTAACATAGAAAACGACATTCTCACTAAATTTCATTCATCCGCTACCAGGCTATTGGTCAATATTTTTACCCTGTACGCTGCATAACAAGATGACTCCGGTCAAAAATACCCAAATTACATTTATTTTTTCTTAAGCGACAAAATTTGGGGTTAAAGCATAAATTTCCAGAAAGGCAATTGATAACTTGAACCCTGAAGGACCTTATATCCCATCCCACTTTATTGGGAATGAAATGTCGGAATCTGTCTGAAGTGTAGTGCATGGTGATCACAGGGCGGCCGTAAGTAGGGTTATTTCTGGAGCCTCTTATATAACTGCCAATGATCCGGAACTATCGCCTTGTGGATATATCATTATTTAGTATTTAATGGGTATTTTCTTATCCGTTGCACATTATAATTTAATCCCTTAAATGCCATAATCTAAATGCAAGCAAAATCTCTGTCCATTATTTTCATCAGAACATTGGTGGATAGTTCACTCGACAAAGATACGGATGACGAGGAGGAGGATGTACCCAGACAAGGGAAGCGTGGTGGCCGCATTGCCGTGACTCTCTGGACCACCGTATCCAGCACCTTCACCATCACCACCACCTCCACAGACACCCTGACCACCTTCTCGCTCTCCTACTTCTGTACAGTTAATGGAGCATCTAGTCCTCCAAGCTGTGGGTGAGGGTAAACGCTCACCAAGCGGCCCCGATGTAACTGGACTCTTTGGAAGCCTATATCGTATTTTTGAGAATTCTCACTGTATACTAGTATTATATTTTATATATAGGGGTCAATTATGTAAATACTGTACGTAAATATATTGCAAATGTTTTCTTCTAGCTATTAATTGAAGTCCAATATTTTCTTTGATTTTATCCTCTTCACCACCGATACGTGAGGTGTTATCTACAGTAGTGTGAACCAAGCATCACAGGTCTGGTTTCCTCCTATACTAACACTGGCTTGATCAACCACTCGAGCGGCAAGTGAGGTGATAAGTGGTGAAATTATATAAGTAAAACGAAAACAAAAAATGAGCAGCAATAATGAACAGCAAAAATATTCCATGAGAAAAATCTACCATATGTCATCCTGGAAAGTTTCTGCCACGCTCACTACTGCCATTCCTTCACCACTACCACCATCCTCTCACACCACCACTCCCACTACCTCCCCCACTACCACCACCTCCCTCTCTCATCACCACCACCTCTCCCTCACTATGAATCCATCGACCTATAATAACTTCCACACATGTTTGTAATTATTTATAACCAAAATACCTCATTACAAAACAAATGTGAACGTGTTAGCTAATTGGTTATGTAGTGACATTTTAAAACAAGACGAAATAGTGTGACTCCTTCATCAACTAGCTGTAAATTCCTCTCTCTTTTTTTCATCGTCGTGTTTCCTATCGATTGTTGGTTACTTATTAATCGAACACGTAACATTACTCATCTTGAAAACTCATGAGGCAACAGATGTCCATAGACTTAAAAGCGCAGGTACAGATATATTATGGAGCCAGAACACGCCTAGAACTTTGCCAACAGTGCGGAAGAGAGATGCGACCGACCATCGAACCTCTGTCCTGCATGGCAGTGAACAGTGATATCACCCACATGACTCTGACCTATATATACTGTTAATGAATGTGATCCATTCCTTTGAGTATGAACCTCTGTCCTGCGTGGCAGTGAGAAGTGATACCACTTAGAATTTTCTGCGTGAATTTTTTATTTTTCTTCCATTTGAAAAAGAATCACCGGGATACAGTACAATCAGTGTGTGAGAGGTGTGGTGCGCTTGGTGTGTCAAAGGTGAGGTACGCTAGGGTACGCGAGCAAATGGGTATGCTAGTAGAGGATTTAGCAAGCAGAGAGGTACTGTAGTAGGTAGGCGCGCAAGCAGTCCAAGCACTGCATTAAATATGTCTCGGGATCGAACTCGCCGCGAAGTCTCGCACCACATTAACCAGGAAACTCAAAATTTTTATTCAGTTTTCCCGACGATCAAAATCTATTTTCAAATCTCCTTATGTAGTATAAAAACATAACTATTTTTCATATGTTTTCTCGATGTTTGTGAAAAAATGCGAAAAAAAAATATAAAAGCACTTCATATACTGCAATTTGTGAAGGGGGGAGGGGAGGGAGGGCCACTGGTCGTCTTTTTCCTCACTGAAGACCAATAACGGGAGAAGGAAACCTGGAAATATTTTTTTTTTAGAATAGTTGACGTGAAGTGAAGTATATAAGGATTGTGACACAGGACCCCTCAGTATCCTCAGTCAACTGGATTTATACAGGTTAGTTAAGTGATGATGGGGAGTTGAGTGTTGGTAGGGGAGTTGAGTGTTGGTGGGGAAGTTAAGTGCTGGTGGGGGGGAGTTATGTGTTGGTGGGGACAGGATAGGTAGGAATTGATACAGTATTTATAAACATGACAAGGAGAAGAATGTGCTTAAAGGAGAATGTATGTATCCTCGGATCTATGACAGGTAAGCCCAGTAACTTGTGACAGGTAGATATAATTAACAGGTAGGTTATATAAGTATGACAGGTTGTAATGTTTCCTTATAAACATGACAGCTAGAATCATAACCAATGACAGGATGAAGTACGCCCTTATTACCTCATTAATGAAGAATATCGCTCTCTTATTTGTACTACTTACTTGCTTTTGTTGCAGAATGAAGTGGCTGATTTTCGCCTTGACGTTGGGCGTCCTGTCCCTCGTAGAAGGTGGGTAAGGAACCTAACCAGTCCCTTGTGTAGTTCTTAATACTCGAGGTCTATCATTGATAGCTTCATCTCGAAGGCCCAATCCTTTAGTAGGCCTTAGTTTGACCCTTAAGATTAAGAGTCCATTGGGTCTGAGTTTCATTAAGACTGAGTCCCAATGCGAATGGTTAAGCTGGGGTCTATTTTTAGTAACGATATATATCAATTACATACCAACATTGTAGACACCATATTATGACCCTGGCCGTTGCGTCGCTAGGATACTATTCATAATCATTCCTTCATTACCAACATTATCGAACCAAAACAACAAAACACCTTTCATGAAATCCTGTACAAAGGAAAACATTGATTATCTCCTCATTAGATTTTATAAATTAAGGTGTGGATAAAAATACATCTAGAGATATAACTGTCCCCCATTGTGTTATATCAACTTGTCGGCCCCCTTACTGTACATGGAAAGAACAGACACAAACAGTACTCTACGGAACCAGGTGTTGGGACGTCTGGTACTTTATACTTACTTTCTCCTGGAGTTAAAGTTTTTATTTCTTATATTGAACCAAAATCCACACGACTAAAAATTTAAAGTGAGTGAGAACATTCAAAACAACAGGTCTTCACATAGTTGATACTAATGTTTATATGGAGGAATTTTTACAACATTGAATTATAAACCTCACCTTTAGATGAAAAAGGGTAGATGTAGTGCATTAAATTCCTAACGAGGACACTTAAGTGCTTAGAGTACAAAGTAGATATTTTGTGATATTGTACATTTAGATGAATAGAAGCGAGCTTGGTAGCTTAACCCCCAGGTCGTTTACTTGCCTAGAGTTGGGTGGATGTTAGTCTTGTAAAAAAATTCACTCCTTTTTATACAGTAAAACCTCCATTTAACGGACATCAATCTAATGGGTATATTCCATTATAAGGAGATTTCATATCTAATGGATCTCGATATAACGGACTGAAATTTCTTATATAATCTGTTAAATAGAGATCTACCTAACTGACGTTTATGTTACTGTACTAAAACAAAAACAAAATCATGACTGACTTTTTCTGTCTAGGGCGTGATGCTCTGGATGCCAGAATTGTAGCAGCCAGGTCGACCAAGACGGCGTTCTTCATCACCACATCCACCACCGTCACGCCCTTCACCTGTGCCTTCGCTACCCAAGGTGACGTCTGTCAGAAGAGACGATACCGGCGATATTCTCACATAAACGACAGACAGTTGGAGTTGGATAAGTAAGTTATAGCAAGAAACATCATCATCATCATCATCATCATTATTATTAACGTTATTAACGTTATTATCATTATAATCCACATGTCTTTCTGTACCAAATCAGTATTCGGTTTAGAAAGGATTTTTTTTCCCTTCCTCAGCAACGAGATTCAAGCTTCCCTAAATGGCATGCTTGATCGCGAGGAGCGTGATGTTGATGACCGGGACCCACGTTTGGCTCTCACCTTTTGGACCACTGTCTCCTCCTCTTACACCGTTACCACCACCTCCGTCGATACTGGCACTACCTTCTCCCTCTCCTTCTTTTGCACGGTCAACGGTGTAGTCTACCCTCCCGGTTGTTAGGCTAATTGACTCCAGAGCAGCGGGCAGTGGGCCTTACAGTACATCTCCTGCGTGTAGGTGTTGATTGAAGGTTCTCATAATGTGGAACAAGCGAACAGGATAAAAATACTTGGGGTTCTCTCATGTTCATTCCTCCTGATAAAGTTGGTTTTGTTATTTTTGTATTTCAATTTGCTACAAATGCCAAAATATTTGTGATTACTTGTGAGTCTGATTCAGGGGATGCAGCTAAAATTGTCGCTCAGCTGACAGACTCACAGTGAACCTCTAGTTAGTTACTCGCACGTCAGGAGAAATACTGTAATCGATCATGGCGACTTTTATTTATATTAACTTTAATTTAAGCATCGAGGGGTCAGTTATGTACATATACAAATATAAATATATATATAAACATACAATTTATACCACAATGTGAATTTCATTTAAACATTGTCCATTTACTACAAATTTTATTGAATCTCAACGAGGAGTTAACTACATTCTAACTTGGCTGAGCCTGACCTTACCTTACCTTACCTTACCTTACCTTACCTTACCTATTTGAAGCTAATACCACTTACCTTGGTAAAGAAACAAGAAGCAATTTAAACAATTGGAAAACTTGCCTTTGGGAGGACCGCACGAGAGGATATCAAAACGTTTTGCAAATTGAGTATAAAATTAAAAAGCGAGAGCTACAATTAATGTCATATTCCAATAGTCTGCCCGGACTATAATACACTTACTCCAATTGTCCTTTAAACTTATTGTGCCACGCCTCAGTAGTCTCCTGAAGGTGCAGCCCGTGGGGTGGGTCTTCAGGTTTCAAAACATATTAATAACTTTGAGCCAGATAGGGCATGTAGGGACCATGTAGGAGTTGCTCGGAGCTACAGTAGAGAACAGTCGTCTATATACACCTGTAAAATATGGGATTTGTTAATTGGCGCATTGCCATGGACGAGGAGCACACACCTCAACATTCTCCGTCGTTTCTCCTGCCTCAACGTGCAAATTTCAGATTATGTCAACCTAATATGCATTAGTGACCGTTGTTTTATGCAGTAGATAGTCAACGAGTAAAAATTTCCTTGGCATCAAAAGTCGGAGTATATGGATGTTTCCTATGCATGGACTCCATCTCTGGCTAATGTACCCCATGTCTTCTCACCAGATGGAAAAGAAATGAGTCCGAATAGTTTCCGTACTGCTCAAGGAGCTCATGACTTGAGGCCATCATCTAGTTTAGATTCCGAACACGAAGATTTCGGGAACCCTTCTTCATGATCTTGCAGAAACTTCAAACATTCCCAAATGTCTGTGGCTAATGATCACAAATGTCAACCTCAGTGCTGGTTCCACCGCTTGATTTTAGGCTGGTCCACCATAGTCAAGCTGTCAACTCAGGTTACACTTACCTCATTCAGAGACGAGAGGGTAAAGGAGAGTGACGTGTACCTAAACTGGAGAGAGTGAGCCCCAGGTCAAGTATGGAAGCCAACTCACTCGTTGCCTCGGGCGTTCTCTTGGGTGAGACACCTTGGGAACGACTATATATTGTGTTTGCTTCTTGTTCTCCACGCATACTGTAGATACATTTCTGCTCGTTAAATAAAAAATGAAGAATCTTGGTTTTTGGCTCACGTGGCGGTATCCAGAAATATTCTTTAAACACAATGAAGGCTAACCTACTTGTTTTATTATCTTCAAAGGAAAGACTTCAGGTGACTTTCCAAACTCGAAAAAAAATCATTAACTGATACTGCAATAGGATAAACACAATATACGCTGTTTTTTTGCTTTTTTTGTTTTTTTACAGAAGTATCTTGAAGTAATTATTGAACGACATTTGTCATTACCTTATTTAAGAGTTTCAAACAGAACTAAAGTTATGATGAAGTAATATTCCGGTGTTAAGTAAAAGCTTATATGATACATAAGGAAGATTGATGGCCAGTTTCGTCCATACAGAGTAATTGCCTTCCAGGATATGGAGTTGTCATATTAATTTCTACACCTATAGCCAGCTACTGAGGCCTTACACTGAAAAAAAACCGGATTTTTGGTAACTCTCGACTACAATTAAACTCGCCCGGGCACTTATGAGGTTCAATGTCCATGTCAAGTTACAGGAATAAGGAAACCCTCTTGAGAATTTGTCCACACGAATCGAGTCACTGTCCTAGACTCCGTGCCATGTGTGATTCCGCATTGCCCCGTGAACCTGTTCGGGAGTATAACTCTTATGTAGGCCTACCTCCTGCATTTACACACGAATTACAAATAAATCACTACTTACTGTATGAAAGACGTTTAGTTTTTATAACACGAGTCAGGACCATTAGTGAGGACCGACAGCAATTACACTGGTTGATCTGAATATCCCACCTCACCCGGTATACAGCCTCCGTTATCTATCTACTGAGTTTAACAATGATCTTACTCACCTTATTGCAGGTCCAAGATACAGGATTTCTGGAGAACTCGTTTCTCTGTCTCTCGGGTCTGTGTGTAGTGACTGAAGTCGCCTTGTGACTCGTTGAAAAACCTGAATGCTTTTGTAATAATTATCTTTTATTATCACCAAAATAATTTACTGTGGCAGTTTTAGGATAACAAAACTCAAATCCAAGATTCAGAAACCGATAGATCCGATTATGATAGGAGTAGGTCAGGTTAGGTTATGTTTGGTCGTGTTAGGTTACATGTAATTAGGATGAATTGGGTTTAATTACATTAACTAAGTTCGGCTATGTTGCATGAAGTTAGAGGTTGGTTAGTTTAGATTAGTTGCGGGTAAGTTAGGTTAGGTTACATTAAGTTGTTAGGAGTAGGTTAGAGTTGTTACTTTAAGGATTTTAAGTCCTGGTGCAGCGCCTAGTGAACTTCGCGTGTTAAACCAACAGCAACAAGGCACCCAATGTACCCAGCCTGTAATGCAAGAGGTGAGTATAGGAGGCAAGTGATGAATACCTATGATGCTATAAATACCCCAACGCTCACAACTTTCCTCATAACTCCTTCATAACTTGACGATATATTGACCATGAAAGTTATATTTCTGTTTTATTTCATTCAGGCATTCGTGTAAATAGTGATGGATATTGTTATGAGTTAGTTATAGTCCTCACCTTTAATGCGATTTACTGCCTAAAATGTTACGTATAAATAGCAAGTCCTTGATCACTGTTCTGGTTAGTTCCTTGTTGTGGCCATTGCTTGGGAAAAGAAGCGTCGTGAAGTCTATTTATAGTTTATGGTATACGACAACATACCACACGTATACTACGTTGGGTATATAAAACCAAAGACCTGTTCCAACCTGACAGTTCTTCGTCGCCAGGATATACTCAGGTTCTTGTAGATACTATAGCTTAAACTTCGTTACTCTGATATATAAACTCGTGAGATGCGATAACAAAAAAATAAGACCCAATTTACATATTTTTCCTTTGTGTGGGAAATGTAGGATAATATACAGTGTTGTGGAAAATTAGAATACGAAACACAATGAATTTTCTCTTGTGTGAGTCTCTCCATAAACATTGATTTCACTTAATGTTTAGTTCACCAAGGAGTAGTGTTTATCGTTCACTCGTGATGTCAATATACTGAACCGTACATACTGAAGCATGATTCACTCTTAAATGTGTATTGGTTTTTATTTCAGAATGAAGTGGCTGGTTCTTGGCATCCTCTTGGCCGTCCTGTCGACGACCCAAGGTGAGAACCAGTATGCTTCCCATCTGCTCACATCTTTTGTGCATCCCAACCAACCACAACTCATGAAACTCCAATCCACCCACAGTCAAAGGCTTCCAATCTAACTACAGTTCGATTTTCTAATCCATCCACAGCTCATAGGTTTCCAATCTCACCACAGCCCATAAGCTTCCTATCCATCCACCGCTTATAGTCTTCCGGTCCAACCATAGCTCACAGATTTCCAATCCACACGCAGGCCGCAACCCTGAAGATGGAAAGGTTGTGGCAGCCCATACGACAAGGACGGCCATCGTGTTAACGACGTCCACCACAGTGAGGCCGTTCACCTGCGCCCTAGCCACTAATCCTGAAGTGTGCCAGAAGAGGCGATTCCGTCGCTACTCTGCTATCGCCGATCAACTGCTGGAAAACGATGGGTGAGTAAGGATACTATTTGCGTTAATAAGTAGTGGTTAGCTCCTTCAATATCACCAGCTTAGAAATGTGCTTTTTCATTATGTAAGTGAGTCAGGCATTATTTGGGAACAATTTAAAAGGTTAGCACGAGATCGATCTGCGCATGAGCAGTCAGCTGCAGCGTCAGAGATGAAATACTGTACTACCCAAACTTAAGATCGTAAGGATGGGTTTGTCTAGGTCTGATAAGCCTTGTTTTTCTGTTATAAATGTTTGTTTTGTACAAATATGTACATATACGACTCTCTAAGAAAAATAATTTGAGAGTCAAACCTAGCAGCAACATAAAGAGATGATATATAAACTAAAGGAGATGAATTACTGCTGAGGAACTGGAGAAGTGTGAGGGACGAGTGTACTGTGAATTTGTATATCTATGAAGAGAAGTGTGAAACGAAGGAGTGCACAATATGTTCTCACAGTTAAGATATTGAGACTGTTGGAAAACTCATATGGAGGAGTAGTATGTGGAGGTGGAGGGAGTTTAGTGGAACTGATTTTCTACAGAGAACATTAAGACAGAGCTGTTTGATGTCAACTGTATTATGAGACATCTTTATTAATGGGTGAAGGAGTCAGGGAGAATCACTTGGGCAGGAGGTGATACACACGCACACACACACACACACACACACACACACGTCTTTGGTTTGGTGATAATGTGACCTTAACGGATACAAGGTCTGGGAGATGCCGGTAAAGGAGAAACTAGGAATGGAAGGTGTAACGTAGCAGTGCCGGATTTTCACTAATTGTAAAGGTAGAAAACCCAAAAAGGATTTGGAGAGACTGAGAATCAAGGCGCCGTGGGTTAAATGCTGTAAATCAGGAAGCACACAAGACAAACTACTGTATAGTGCAGTGGTGTCAAACTCAAAACCTTTCGAGGGCCAATTCTTATTTTACTTACCCTCTTCAGGGCCAAGACAAGTGCTATATCACATATTTGCAGGATTGAAGTTTACAGCTTCACACATTGCCTTACCTGGCTTACCAGGAATACCTCATTTGGGGTTGCCTGATCTTAAGTATGTAAAATTCACTTTACTAAATAAACATGATTATATCTATTTCTTTCATAATTTCACGGGATGATAAATTTTACCGTCATCCCGCGGGCCACACCTGACCCTCCCAAGGGCCACATTTGGCCCGTGGGCCATGAGTTTGACACCCCTGGTATAGTGATTGAATGGTGAAATTAATCAAAAAAATTTTCTCGAGAAAGTAAAATCAAGTGGTTTTATTTTTCTGTTATTAGATAGGTTATGTTATCAATATAAACCTTTCCAGTTGTCAATTGATTTAGTCAAATGGGCGGCGGCTTTTTTAAAGAAAAACCCAGTTGACAGCTTAAGTGACTGAGAAACTAAGCCTACAACTTTTAACACTTTTGTTTAACATCCCACAGACCATCATTAGACGGATCACTGCTGGGACTGGTTGATCAGGACAGTGAAAGCAGCGCCCGTAAACCACGTATAGCCCTCAACATCATCTTCACCACCTCCTCAACCTACACCGTCACCGCTACCTCCACCAACCGCGCCATCACCTTTTCTCTGTCCTTCTTCTGCACGGTCAACGGTGCAAGCTATCCCCCCGCCTGTGGCTAGACGCTGGAAGACGAAGCTCACAGAAGGACAAGGGCCAGGACCATCAGGATGCTGGGGTGTGTGTGTGTGTGTGTGTGTGTGTGTGTGTGTGTGTGTGTGTGTGTGTGTGTGTGTGTGTGTCAGGAGTGGGATTCTCTTACAGGTGAATTGTCTTATAAATACGATACTATTTACTGTACCTATGTGATTACTTCTTGATTTAAAGGCCAGATCGTCTGAGTCGTAAGGTCATTATAATAGTAATATTACTGCTCATATTACTAATGTTAATGATATTATATTTATTGGGTAATAGAATCAAGGCTTTTACCCCAAAAATTTATTCAGAGCCTTTCCTAACTTTTAACTGTTGATGATCAGTGTAAATCCTAAACAAATTACGAGCTAAAAGAGGATGAAGCGCAGTTATAACATTGTAACGTTAACTGAGGCTTATCTAAGTACACCAAAATAAATTACTCTTTAATATCATATACCTGACCACTGTAAAGCTTAACCTACATATCCTGTGAGATCTCTGGCCCTTCACGATGACTGAAGTCTGTCTTCAGAACATGTTTCTCATCGTACTGTATAATGTACCGGTAAATTCTTAAGCATAATGTGTTTCCTTACAGGGGTCAAATGTGTAAATATAGAAATATATGCTTAATTCTTCCTGGAATATCACTTAAAACCCTGTACTCTACTGGTGAAAATATTCTTAACAGCCATGGCCACCTTATGCTTCAAAATGCATGGTCATACAATACAGTATACTGTACTTACATTTCTTCACAGTAAATTTTAACACATTTTTGAATAACCGGTTGTCATTTTCTTAGTGGTTGTCATGTTGAATATTAAATTCTTGTTGGCTGGCAAGCTATCTCGTCAGGAGGTCTCTCTCTCTCTCTCTTGCCACATATTCTCATACTATCTCATATACTCCACATACTACTCCACATACTATCCCACATACGCACATGCAATATCTCAGCCCCTGGGAGGTCACTTGGGGGACCCGTTGACCATGGAAGGGCCCCTTGAGGCATCACCGCCCTGGAAGGGTCCCTGGAGGCACCACCTCCTCTGGGAAGGCCCCTGGGGCCTCTGCTGCCCAAAAGGAGAGCCCCTGGGTGCGCCGTTACACCTGACCTGGCCCTGGGGGAACCGCTGTCCCTGGGAGGGCCCCTGGGAGGGCTCCTTCCGGCGCCACTGATAAGGCCCTTGGGGGGGGGGGTGGGGCACTGCCGCTGGAAAGGCCTCTGGGGGTGTCATCGCCCCTGGAATGGACTCTGGTGAAGCGTCCGCCCATGGGAGGGACCCTGGGGGCGCCACCAGCCCTGGCAGGGCCCTTAGGTGCGCCGTTGTCCGTGAGAGAGCCTTTGGGGGTGCCATCGCCCATGGCAGGGCCCCTTGCAGCGCCACAGCCCATCGCAGGGCCCCTGGGGGCGCCACCGCACCTGCCAAGGCCCATGGGGGTGCCGCCGCCCTTGGAAGGGCCCCTGGGGGCGTCACACCTGGTAGGGCAAATGGGAGGGCCCCAAGGGGCACTGTCATTATAGGGATCCTGGGTGCAGCTGTATTTGCACATTTAGAACAATGATACTGGAAATGCAATGGGCGGTGTATTTATTCCTATATCCCATTGTTCTAAATGTGCAAAAACAACTGCTCCCAGAGTCCCTACAGTGACAGTGCCCACTGGGGTCCTCCCATTTGCCATACCAGGTGCGACGCCCCCAAGGGCTCTCTCAGAAGGTTCGGCGCCGCCAGGGGCCCTACAAGGGGCTCTCACAGGGACAGCAGCGCTCCAAGGGGCCCTCTCAAGGACAACGGCGCCACCAGGGACCTTACTTGGTGCAATGAATCCTCCAGGAGCTCTCCCAGGGACAGCGGCGTTCCCAAATGTCCTCCCAGCGTCAGCAGCGCCCTCAGGGGCTCTCCCAGCGAAAGTGGCGCACCTAGGGGTTTTCCCAGTAACACCGGCGCTTCCAGGGGCCGTCTCATGGGCAGTAGCGATACCAGGCGCCATGTTAGGGACAGCGGTACTCCCATGGGTCCTCCCAGGAACGGCGGCATTTCCAGGGGCCCTGTCAGGGGTGTTGGCGCGGCCCTTGGGGGCGTCACCGCCCCGGACAGCGCCCCTGAGCGTACCACCGACCATGATAAGTCCACTGAGGGCGCCACCGCCCCTGGCAGAATCCCTAGAGGCACCGCCGTCCCTGGAAGGGACCCTGGGAGCCCCGCTGTCCCTGGGAGAGTCACTGGGGTGCCAGCGACCCTGGCAAGGCCACTGGGGTAGCCACCGTTACTGAGAAGGCCCGTGGGAGCGCTGCCATCCCAGGGTGGGCCTCTCGGAGAGCCCCTTGAAGCAACGCCATCCCTGGGAGATCCCCTGGTGGCGCCCTTTACCAAGGTATACCCCCTGGGGCACCGCTGTCCCTGGCAGGGCTTTTCGTAGCGCCGCTGTCCCTGGGAGAGCCCATGAAAGCGCCACAGACCCTGGGAGGGACCCCAATAGCACACTGCTAGGGGCTGTGGTGCCCCCATGGGCTCTCCCAGGGACAGCGGAAAACCAAGGGGCCCTCTCAAGGACGGCGGCGCCACCAGGGGCCCTGCCAGGAGCGATGGCGTTTTGGGGAGCTCTCCTAGAGACAGCGGCGTTCCTAGGGGCCCTCCCAGGGGTATCGGCGCCCACAGAGACTCTCCCAGCGCAGCTGGCGCTTCCAGATTTGTGAACCCAAAACAGTAGACACTGATAAATTATTCTGTCCATAAATGCTTCGGATTCAAGAATGTGAATTTCGAGGTTCATGGTTCGCGATAATAATCCCTTACTTACTTACTTAACTGTGATTGGTGGACTAGAATGTAAATCCACCAAATTACAGCCAATAGGAGAACAGAGCACTCAGTCAGCACAACACCCCAACTTATGTTTTCCTGTTGGATATTTTTTCTCCATTTCATTGTTTAGGATACGATGATAATGGAAATGTGATGGGCGGTGTATTTATTTAACGTCATATCACCCAGAATTTTAAATAGTGCAAAAACAACTACTCCTACGAGCCATTACACGGGCGATGGCACCACAGGGTTTCTCCCAGGGACAGCGACTCTGCCAGGGGTCTTTCCATAATCACCAGCGCCCCATGGACCTTGCCAAGGTTGCTGCTGCTCCCAGGGATTCTCCCAGCGAAAGCTACGCTCTCAGCGGCCCTCCCAAGGACAGTGGAGCACCCAGGGGCTCACCCAGGGTCAGCAGAGCTCCCAGGGGCCTTTCCAACAACGGCGGCACCCCCAAGGACCCCACCAGGATCGCTGGCGCTCCCAGGAGCTCTCCCAGACACAGCCATGTTCCCAGACGTTCTCCCAGGGACGACGGCGCCCCCAGGGACACATCCAGGGACAAAAGCGACCCAAGGGCCCTACCAGAGCACTGGCGCCTCCCGAGAATATCCCAGGGACAGCGGCGCGATCAGGGGCCCTCTCAGGGACAGTGTCGCGCTCAGGGGCCCCCTCATGGGAGGTGGCGCCCCAAGGTGCAATGCCATGGACGGCGGCGTCCCCAAGGGCTCTGTCAGAGGGCGCTGGCACTGCCAGGAGTTATCTCAGGACCAGGGAAACTTCCACGGACCCTCTCAAGGACGACGACGCCCATAAGGGCTCTACCAGGGACATACACGTTCCCAGGGGCCCTGCCGGGTGTGGTGACGCCCCCATGGGCCCTATCTGAAGCAGCGGCGCCGTTATGGGCCCTCTTAGGAGCGGCGGGGCTCCCAGAGGCACTTCTAGGGACGGTGGGGTCCCTCACAGGGGCAACAGGGTCCCTGCTAGGGGCAGTGGCGACTTCAGGGGTCCTCCCAAGGGCGGCGGAACCCCCAGAGATTTGATGGAGGTATCGTACATATTGCATTCGTCCAATAATCCCTTATTTAACTGTGATTGGTGGACTAGAATGTAAATACACCAAATTACAGCCAATAGGAGAACAGAGCACTCAGTCAGCACAACACCCCAACTTATGTTTTCCTGTTGGATATTTTTTCTCCACTTCATTGTTTAGGATACGATGATAATGGAAATGTGATGGGCGGTGTATTTATTTAACGTCATATCACCCAGAATTTTAAATAGTGCAAAAACAACTACTCCTACGAGCCATTACACGGGCGATGGCACCTCAGGGTTTCTCCCAGGGACAGCGACGCTGCCGGGGGTCTTTCCATAATCAGAGTCAACCCAAGGACCTTGCCAAAGTCGCTGCCGCTCCCAGGGACTCTCCTAGCGAAAGCCACGCTCTCAGCGGCCCTTCCAAGGACAGTGGCGCCACCAGGGGCTCACCCAGGGTCAGCAGAGCTCCCAGGGGCCTTTCCAACAACGGCGGTACCCCCAAGGACCCCGCCAGGATCGCTGGCGCTCCCAGGAGCTCTCCCAGGGACAGCCACGTTCCCAGACGTTCTCCCAGGGACGACGGCGCCCCCAGGCGCCCTTCCGGGGACTAAAGCGCCCCAGGGGTCCTACCAAGGCACTAGCGCAACCCGAGGATATCCCAGGGACAGCGGCGCGATCAGGGGCCTTCTCAGGGACAGTGTCGCGCTCAGGGGACCCCTCATGGGAGGTGGGGCCCCAAGGTGCAATGCCATGCACGGCGGCGCCCCCAGGGGCTCTGTCAGAGGGCGCTGGCACTGCCAGGAGCTAACTCAGGTCCAGAGGAACTTCCAGGGACTCTCTCAGGGACGGCGACGCCCATAAGGGCTCTACCAGGGACATCCACGTTCCCAGGTGCCCTGCCGGGTGTGGTGACGCCCCCATGGGCCCTATCTGAAGCAACGGCGCCGTTATGGGCCCTCCTAGGAGCGGCGGGGCTCCCAGAGGCACTTCTAGGGACGATGGGATCCCTCACAGGGGCAACAGGATCCCTGCTAGGGGCAGTGGCGACTTCAGGGGCTCTCCCAAGGGCGGCGGAACCCCCAGAGATTTGATGGAGGTATCGTACATATTGCATTCGTCCAATAATCCCTTATTTAACTGTGATTGGTGGACTAGAATGTAAATACACCAAATTACAGCCAATAGGAGAAGAGAGCACTCAGTCAGCACAACACCCCAACTTATGTTTTCCTGTTGGATATTTTTACTCCATTTCATTGTTTAGGATACGATGATACTGGAAATGGGATGGGCGGTGTATTTATTTAACGTCATATCACCCATAATCTTAAATAGTGCAAAAACAACTACTCCTACGAGCCATTACACGGGCGATGGCACCTCAGGGTTTCTCCCAGGGACAGCGACGCTGCCGGGGGTCTTTCCATAATCACTTTTCGGGAAAGTAGATTATCGACTTTTCGGGGAAGTAGATTTTCGAATTTTGGGGGAAATATTACCTAATTTTGCGAAGTAGATTATCATAGAAAACGGGAAATTTGTATCATAAAAAATGGGAAATATCTACTTTCCGGGAAAGTTGGTTATCTACTTTTCCGAAAAGTAGATAGATTTTCTACTTTTCGGGAAAGTAGATTATCGACTTTTCGGGGGAGTAGATTTTCGAATTTTGGGGGAAATATTACCTAATTTTGCGAAGTAGATTATCATAGAAAACGGGAAATTTGCATCATAAAAAATGGGAAATATCTACTTTCCGGGAAAGTTGGTTATCTACTTTTCCGAAAAGTAGATAGATTTTCTACTTTTCGGGAAAGTAGATTATCGACTTTTCGGGGAGTAGATTTTCGAATTTTGGGGGAAATATTACCTAATTTGCGAAGTAGATTATCATAGAAAACGGGAAATTTGCATCATAAAAAATGGGAAATATCTACTTTCCGGAAG